CACACACACACACACACACACACACACACACACACACACACACACACACACACACACACACACCGATGTACTTGACGCATTTTGTATACTTTGTTATGATCAAATTTCTGAAATTCATTTGAATTGTTGAATTCTTGCGTATTTTGGCATAAATTGTTATAATAGTAATAATAATAATAATAATAATAATAATAATAATAATAATAATAACGAGATGCGTACGTTAGTAAAATGATCATCACGAATATAGGATAATTATCAAGGAAAGTACAAGTCATACTTTGTACAAGACGTCCAGACAGTTTCTACTAAGAACATCAGGTAAGGACATTAAATTTATAATATCCGGTCCATATAAAAGTAGCGAGGTGACAAAGAAAGAGAGTATATTAGAAAGGATTGGAAAAAAGAAGGATGCATTAGAACACTGGAAAAAATATATTTTGTTGAAACTGACCTCTCTTGGAGACGCGCTAAATTGCAGGACAATTCGACAATTTTCACTTGTTCAATTTCCATTCTTTGGACAGTTGTCGCATAGAATGTGTGCCGGTCGACTCAATTGGTTTCATCTATCCTTTCTTATGGAACTATTCGTGATACGAATATCCGAAATATGCTAATTCCGTTATCTTATACTTGCAGCGCGAAAAAGCTAGCCACTTTGGATAGCCACGTTGACCAAGATCTCCTAGAGAAAATCCGAAACAAAGCGCTGAAGATCAACTTGGAAAATGGCACGCGAAGCGAGGTGTACGAGTACAAGTCTTTTTGGTGCAAAAAGAAGTGTTACATATGGGACGTTACGAAATACGAGTTCTCGAGGCTCGTGGGATTCGATAATGGTACAATGTGTTCTGATTTTCATCTCGGGAGCGAGCACGGTTTGTCTAAAGAAGAGCAGTTACTTAGGTAAGACGCATCTCTTCTGGTAACATAATTTGTATCAATTGATATCACTAGAAAGCGGGACTCATTCATCCCTTCATTACAGGTATATTGTATACGGAAGTAACGAAATCATTGTACCGCTTCAGAGTATCGGCATGTTATTACTATTGGAAGTCTTGAATCCGTTTTACATTTTTCAAGTGTTTACTTTATCCGTGTGGTTTGCGGAAGGCTATTTTTATTATACTATCGCGATCATTCTAATGTCACTGTTTGGAATAACGAGCAGTATAGTGCAAACGCGAAAGGTACATGTCGTTCAACTTGTTCACGATACAAAGAGGAAAAGAGAGAGAGAGAGAGAGAGAGAGAGAGAGAGAGAGAGAAAGATAGGAAGAAAATGTATTTTACAACAAGACATAATCAAAAATTTCGATTATCTATTATTAGAACCAGCTAAATTTGCGCGGTACCGTTGCGTCGATGGAAAATGTACGCGTGCTTCGGGACAACGGTACTTTTGAGAATATTTCCAGCAAAGATTTAGTGCCCGGCGACATAATCGAATTGCCGAAACACCAAACAACTCTCATATGCGATGCGGTCTTGTTAACGGGACAATGCATATTAAACGAGTCTATGCTAACAGGTAAAAAGTGTTCCGTCCTTGTTTGATAAGTTTTTTATGATAAACGCGTGCTAAAGAATGAGTTTATTCTTTAATTGGTTTTTAGGCGAGTCTGTGCCAGTTACGAAAACATCGTTACCGCCTCATCAAACGTTGTACGACACTAAAGAATGCACGCATCACACGCTGTTCAGCGGCACGTCTATAATACAGACCAAGTATGCGACACTTTACACCTCTAATAGCCTTCAATATATCACACTGAATAAATAATACGCCACTTGCAGGTGCCACGGAGGCCAGCGTGTTCTCGCGAGAGTCATCAAGACTGGTTTTCTAACTAAGAAAGGTGCTTTAATCGCCGCTATATTGTATCCACCTCCGGCGGACTTCAAGTTCGACCAAGACTCGTATAAATTTATCGGCATCTTAGCATTAATTGCAACGTGTGGCTTCATATACACCATAGTGAGCAAGGTAATTTTTTACTCGGGATATGCCTGCTCCCGGTTCGTTTCCCTTTTTTTTAGCCCCCCAGCCTCGTATGTTTAGGTCACACTTGAGATATGCTGATCTCATTATAGCTAATTATTTGAGTCTAAAATTACAGCTGTGTGATTTCTTCTCGAGGTCGGTAAATTCTTTTAAGGCTCCTGATCCATTGCTTCAACTATCCTTGTTCGATGACGTCAGAAGCGAGAGAACGCTAAGAATTCTTGCGTTACACATTCCAAGAAAAAGATATATTCACAAAACAACATTAGTGACTGATTCAGCACACTTGCAGAATTGTCGGAACATTTTTCTTTTACTCAATCAATAAATAATCGTAAAATTAAAATTGACAAAATCCTGAGAAAGAAGGGTTAAAAGGGAAGGGTCCGTGTCAAATTAATTTTGCGACTATTTATTGATCGTTCAGGTAAAAGAGAAGTGTTTGGACAATTTGATAAATGTGTTGAATCAGTTACAAGCGTCGTTTTGTGGATATTTCTTTTCATCGGAATGTATTACGTAAGAATCCTTTGCACGCGTTTTTTCGCTTCTGATGTCATCAAACAAAGATACAGCGAGGGACTGGAGGAACCGTAAACGTAACGGCGATTGCTCAATCATTTGAGTCATTGCGTGCTACTTTCGTTCTATCTTTATTTTGCTAGTGCGAATTTATATATAATCGCACAATTTTTGCGTAATACGTATTACTTTGTATTTTGTATAAAAAAGGATGCGTTACCTTATGAAGAAATAAATAAATACATGTTGACATGTTACTACTTATCTTTATATTTTATATATAACATATATAGCATTTTATTGCCTAATACATACAATGTTAAATAATTTAGGTTTCAAGAGGAATCACACCGGGCGATATAACAATAAAAGCGCTGGACATTATTACGATAGTGATACCACCGGCGTTACCAGCCGCTATGACAGTAGGGAAATTATACGCGCAAGCGAGGTTGAAACGTGCGCAGATTTATTGTATCAATAACAGGGTCATTAATGTTTCCGGCAGCATAAATTGCGTCTGTTTCGATAAGGTAAGAAAGAGAGAAGCAATTTAACGATTATGTCGTTTTAGTCTATAGTTTCGAAGATTCGAAAAAGAAAAATTCGGTTTTTCCCGCGGATTTTTTTCGTTTTTTTTCGGCTATGGGAAGAAATCGTTTTTTTTTCTTTAAACTTTAGGCTCTCCCTCATTTTTATTTACCTTTTTCTCACGTCGTCGCTACGTTCGCACAGACAGGCACGTTGACCGAAGATGGGTTGGACATGTGGGGCATCGTACCCTGCACGAACAGCATCCTGGACGAGGCCGAGACGGACATACCCAAGCTTGAGAATCATCCTCTCTTCGAAGGGATGCTGGTTTGCCATAGTTTGACGCTTATCAACGACAAGCTCTGCGGGGATCCTTTGGACGCAAAGGTACGACGTCGTTCATTCTGTTCACTTTGCGATCACTACCGATATCTCGATGCAGCCTATCCGATATTGCAGATGTTTGAGAGCACCAAGTGGATATTGGAAGAATCGGATTGCGTACACGTAGACGAAAACGACGTAGTGATACCGATGGTCGTAAAGTCGCCGAGCGAGACTTCGGAGATTGGTATAATACAGCAGTATCAATTCTCAAGCTCTTTGCAACGAATGTCTGTTATTGTGCGCGCATCGGGATCGGATGACTACAGGTCTTACACGAAAGGCTCGCCCGAGATGATAATTCGCCTGAGCAAGCCGGAAACCGTGCCGAAGGATATCGCGCAAGCTCTGGAGCGATACACGACGCAGGGCTATCGCGTGATAGCAATGGGTCGCCGAGCGTCAATCTCCGAAACCAACACAAAGGTAACCGAGCGTATCTTTCTCTTGTGATTCTTCTCTGTCGAGCGCACAGTCGGACGGCCAATTCAAACGTATCTCCAGATATCGAAACTACCGCGAGAGACGGTCGAGTGGGACCTGGAGTTTCTGGGACTAGTGGTCATGGAGAACCGATTGAAGGAACCGACGACGCCGGTGATCACGGAATTGAGGGAGGCCAACGTACGCGTCGTGATGATCACAGGTTTGAATTGGCCGAATACGCGCAAACATCGCGCACAATCCTCTCGTCTCTGATGTGCAATCTTACAACATGCTTGACCTTGAATTTTCGAAGGAGACAATATCCAAACCGCGATGAGCGTTGCAAGGCAATGCGGGATACTCTCGAAGGACGAGTACGTTGTGAATGTAACTATGAAGCCGGTCGAGAGGAAAGAAGACTGTCCTGAGATATCCTTCGACATTCAGTCCCCCGAATCTGTCAGATTGGTAAACTCGTTGAATCAGATTTTACAGTCTACGTCACTCCCCGGTCAAATTCGCCCACAGTCTGTGGAATGAGATTCTTATTTCTCTCTGCAGAGTTTGCAAAACGGAGGCTCTGCGATGACTGAGGACGTGGAACGCGGTGTGGCCAACTGTAATTACAAATTCGCCCTGACTGGCGAAACGTGGCGAGCGCTGCGAGAGTATTATCCCGATCTCATAGATCGTATTTGCGTACACAGCGCGATATTTGCTAGAATGAGCAGCGACGAGAAACAACAAGTGATCTTGGAGCTCATGCGACTCGGTTACTACGTAGGTATGTGTCTTTCTTTTATGATTAATTGCGTGACGAAAATGAGCAAAGAGAGATAGAAAGCTCGAGTGTGTGTATGTGTGTCAATGTCGAACATTGGAGATATAGATAAGCGATAAAGTAAAAGTTATCGTTTGCAATGCCCAGCCATGTGCGGCGACGGCGCCAACGACTGTGGGGCGTTAAGATCCGCGCACGTCGGAATATCGCTTTCCGAAGCGGAATCCAGGTGAGAGACGCTCAATTCACATTCATGCTATTTTATCGGTCATCTCTCTCTCTCTTTGACTGATAAAATGATGTTCTCTCTTCATCGTGCAGCGTGGCCAGCCCTTTCACCTCGGCGGTATCGGACATAACTTGCGTGCCGAAGGTGATACGAGAAGGACGCGCCGCCTTGGTCACGTCGTTTGGCATCTTTAAATTTATGGTGGCGTATTCCCTGACGGAGTTCCTCTCCGTCATAATACTGTATTCCATCGACTCGAACTTGACGGACCTGCAATTTCTATTCATCGACATCTGTCTGGTCGTCAACTTCGCCTTCTTCTTCGGCAAGACTCGCGCGTACACGAAGAAATTGTCCAGGACACCACCCATGACGAGCCTGTTGAGTTTCACTCCGCTCTTATCTTTGACAGTACACATGTTCATAATGACTGTTTTTCAGGCGATAGCGTATCACGCTGTCCGGAAGTTCCCTTGGTTCAAGCCGTTCGTTCCCGTCAGTAACACCGGATACGCCAGTTTTGAGAACTATTCGGTCTACTGTGTCTCCATGTTTCAGTATATCACGTTGGCGATTATATTTTCACGCGGGAAACCGTACAGGCGTGCTGTCTACACGAACGAGACACTCATGTTCTCCATACTCCTGTTAACGGTCGTATGTGCGTACATTACGGTTTACCCGGCAGGCTGGGTGGTGAACGTCTTGGAATTAATGTTACCGCCCGTCTACGATTGGAGACTCATTATTTTAGCGCTCGCCTCGGCCAATTTTCTTATTTGCCTCTTCACCGAGAGTTTCGTGATAGAACGCGTCGTCGAAAATATCCTGAAGAGGAAATTCTACAAGCCGGAAAAATCGAGGAAAATATATCTCAGGATGGAACACAAGGAAAAGGAATACGGAAATTGGCCGCCGTTCCCACTGCCAATACCGTCTGTCGTACGAACGGAGAACGGCGTAGAGAAAGCCGTGAACGTTTCGCACAACGGATACCGTTCCACCAATATTTCGAGTGATCGAACATCTAACGGTTTTAGCAATTCGTTCGATCTATCGAAGGAAAAAACCAACGAAGGGAATGGCCTTGGAAATCCTGGTTTTGTCAAGGACGAAATTTAATGGAGAATATCCAAGACGGAGAATGAATCATCTGTTGTATGAAAAAGTTAAAGATTCACTTATGTTTCACCATGTACAATGTTGTACGTTGTTGTTGCCTTGAACAACGAAAAGCAATTTTAAAGCGTTCCGTCGCGTGACAAGCGAGCATTAACGGAAAGAAGCACAATGCAATTATTTGAATAGAGGACAACAACGCGGTAAGAACTCTTCTCGTGGATAATGCTTGTGAGTGAAATCATCAATGAGTGAATATTTCACGAAGTACTTCATATTTTATATCAAAATACTTGGAAGGGAAATATGAGAGCGAATATTTCGCGAAATTTCGCGAAATACTTAGTTCCTTTGCGACTTTCTTTCATATTCTAACAAAAATAATCGATGTATGTAAAAAAATGTCTATTTTGGAAAGTCAAGGTAACTTTACACTTTAAAAAATAATGACTTTAAAATGAACATTTCTTTTCATTTTTCCGAATTCTAAGCTCTATTTCTAATGGGAATTTTTATATATTTGAGAGCATCGGAAATTTTCAAACTTTTGGGCGACTCATTTTCTCTGTGCACGATCGATATCTCCTTTTAGTATTCCTGCAAGTATTTTTAATAGCAATTACGATATAAGTTACATAATTCATGACAGTATTAGTAAAAATATCAAGGAATGAATATCATATCATACTTTTAATATAAGATTGGTGCAACGGCGAAGAAATGTCTAATAACTGGAAAAAGAAAGAATTCATTTTAATATTCCTATATCTTTCTCTCTTTCAAAGAAGATCGTCCTTGCAGAATTATATTGACGTAAATAAAATTATCATATCTAGTCGAATTAGCGCCTGAAAGATTTTTCCATTTTTTCGTGCTTTCTTCACTTAATAGTATGATATATTCAAATTAAACTCTACTTTGTTAGTTATACATATATAGATATAAATATTTTATTTCGAAATAAATAAAAATATGACAGTATATGTATATTACCAGTATAATGCTTTATGGACCTTAGCATTAAAAAAAAGTAAACGCGTTCAAATTCAATCAGTTTAATCAGCTTTAACAAATTAATTGTACATATGTTAGTAGTAAAGTTCTGCGTCTATGAAGTAAAATAGATTGAGAATCATAAGTCTTGATGTTTGATCGTCTTGCGAGCCTATGATGTTGATTTTCTTAGCATTCTCTAAAAGAGTAAAGTGCAAAGTGTGAAATATGTTATATTGGCGATATATATTCCTAACTATTTTTGCATATTTTTACCTATAATAGCCTCCTGTTTTGTCGTAAGTTCCTCTCGAATCCATTCTTTGAAACACAGAGCTATTTTACTGATCATACGAATTGTGGCTTCGTTTATGCTTGGCCTCAACAGTAAGCTTGGTAAAGTTGCGACATACTTTTTGAATGCCTCTTCTCTATCAAATGAAATATTAAAAAGAATATTATTCATGATGACAGGCAGAATCGGTGATGCCAATGATGGCACCGAGCCACAACGCACACAAGCGTCGCGTGTCCGTGCGCAGCTTCTTCGGCCACCTTTCACTGACTCGACGCGAGCCGATATATCCGCTGTCTCACTTCCCCGACTTCGACTGTAGTCTCACCGACGAGATAGCTGCAATAATAGCCATAGTCAACAAAGCTATCGGGGAAGCGAGACAGCAGATACGTCGGCTCGTGTCGAGTCAGCCGAAGCGGCCGAAGAAGCTGCACACGGATACGGCTGCGACGCTTGTGTGCGTTGTGGCTCAATGCTATCATTGGCATCACTAGGCAGGATACATGCACTACCTGCTTAATCGTATGCCAAAGCATTTCTTCGCACGTAATAAGCAATAAGCAATTAATAATTACTAAAGCGATAAGCAATTACTTATCAACTATAAACGTATCTACTAACGTTTTCATATTTTGTCACCTATAGATAGTCTCGAATTGCCCACTTTTTATACTTTTCAACAGTATTAGCTATTTAATGACTATTCGCGGGAGTATACTTTACGAGAATTCCATTACCTGCGTAATTCATTCAAGTTACATTCCAATATAATGTTACCGATGATTATGGACAAGTCTGATTGCAACTCATTCTTAGGTAGATCAGAGGACGTTTCGACAATCAGTTGCAAAGTACGGCTTAGATCAATGCCATTTACATGCCAAGCTGAACTCGCTGTTAAAAACAGAGTTCTCAATAGCTTGGTCAGTTGCAATAACACAGACGAGTCATTGATGTACCAGTTTTCAATATTGTCTGAAAGAAATGTTGATTAAAGAAAAATTGCGAAGATGCGACGAGACAATTATACATCATAATAGAATTAGCTAACAAATCTCACCATTCAAATATTTAATGACGGATAAACAATTCTTTTTGACACAATCAGGAAATTTCTTATGGCTAATTATAGACGTACACCATATATGAATCCGGCAAAGCCCCAAATTCTGTTCTAAATAGCTCTCGCTAGATTTCATCCCGGAATAATCTTCTTGACATTTCCTAGATTTGTTGGCAAATTCTCCCGCTTTATTGTACGGAAATTTCGACAGGAAATTCTTCATGTATGATTCATGAAATTTATGTATAAACCAACACTTTGTATCCTGGTCATCGTCGTAATCATCGTGATCCAACGTATCGATGTACTCGATAATTGACTGTATAATTCTAACGATACTTTTCAATAACGCGGCCGTCTCGCTGGAGATCGTAATCTCCGTGTAATTCTCAAGCTTCTCATGTGGACATACTTCGAGCCAAATGTCAAACATCAATGGCATCAATGTGTCTACATATTGGATGAATTCTATCTTGGATAAAGCTCTTCCTGTTGTTGTTATCAAGTTTAAATCGTCGTTAAAATCGATCTCACAAGTTTTGGCTGGACTATTAGAAAAGATTGGAATAAATCTGACATAATTTCGCACTTCTCGCTTTATCGTACTTGAACGCATGGTTCTGTCAAATTCCTCGTCACTTAGGATACATTTAAACATATTAGCCAAACGTTCCAAAACTTGAATCCTCCACCTTACACTAGTGCTTTTAGAATTTGGTAGTGTTGTCAATTGTCCACTGCGCTTAATATCACCGTGTAATCTACATATCATGCCCAAAAAATTGGATAATATTTTATGACTATCTTTCATAAGCATATTACCACAATTGTGCACGAGAACATCTAAGTAATGCAAAGAGTCCTCCTTTATATGTGGATTAATATGCGTCATGGCACAATTTAAGTAAGAGGTTAAAACATCGAGATATGGTATCAGCTGTTCCTTCGAAATACATTCAAGAATTAATTGCAGCGCGCTTGTCGAGTTTCTCCGTACATTTTTCTCTTTATCAAGAGATAAAGATGCTATTCCACGGATTAAAGAGCCTAATTCTGAATGCAGGGTTTTTGGTGGATGTATTAACAAGATTTCCTTCAGTTCTCTCAATGCTTCTGTTCGCACTGTTACATTATGATGTCGAAGACGCATCAATAGTTCCTGAAATGGATGTGATAAATACTCGGACAATATTATATGATAAGATCACAGAAAGTTTATGGTGTCTGTACAATAAATGTTCAAATGCACTATTTTACATACCTTGATATTGAGCTTACGAGTGCTGAGAATTTCAGTGTCATCATGATGCTTTAATTGTTTCTGTATCACAATTTTTTTCGCTGTGAACGATGTATCCGTAACATTTAAGTTCTTCGGTAGCTGATTCGTTTTACTCTTCAATTTTACTTTCGACTTTTCTGATTTTAACCGCTTCAAGTGCTTATGACCCTTAGCCATAACTTCAAAATTGTGGATAAATGTCTGGAATAAATAATTTTTATCAGAAAGAGTTTTCCATGAAAATATATTTCTATGATGTCTTCTCGGTATGTGAAACAAAAAATATGATGATCTCAGGCGATATAAACAAGAATAGACAACAATAACATATTTTTACTTTTGCTGATATTCCACCGGCTACTAGAGATTAGTAAATACCACACTCTCATTTACACGTGACTGTGTTAAGGTTATAACCTTTCTGCATTGCATTTTTGAACAACAGAGGGCACCATTTACGTCACCATGTACATTTCCTTTTCGATACATATGCGCAAAGTGTATTACGTCGCTACGTTTAAAATTGTCTCTTTAAAATTGCTTTTAATTATATTAATATATCCTGAACATTTAATTAATTTATCAATTTTAGATATATATTGCAATGGCAAACACTTATATGTACGCGACATTCGAAATTATAAGTTATAGGTTACTTTTTATGCGCATGATGCGGAACCCAGCCTATATATTCGGTATGCAAAAAATTTAGCGCACGTGCCGTTATAGCCATTCCATGGCAGTGAGAAGTATTATATCTCTAAGAGAAATGCTCGATTATATGCGGAGATGTATCTGAATAAAGCAAACGACGTGTTATAAGGAATATGGTAATATTACATAACATTCGAAAATTAAGTTGGACCGCGACTGACCTTGGTAGTTATCAGTTATGTCAACGTGAGATCGCAATAATTCAGATATAAAGTGTGTGAATCTATGATGTTATCTGACAATTATATATGTGATTGAGATAAAATTATATCAAAGAGAGATAAGAAAAAAGAAACTTAATATTGCGCTGAAGAAGAATATTCATAGTATAAATAGAGGTTTATAACGGACTGGAGCGAACCAGAGTAAGTAATTAGATATCCAAAACGATGATTTGTGATTTTCAATTAAGTGTCCACGTTTGAACCAAGGTTTCTTTTCTTACCATCTAAATCAAATGCCCACGTTTAAAGTAGTGCAATAGACTCGATTGCTCAATTCTATTAGTGCGATCCAACAAACTGCCTACTCATATCTCGCGCGCGGATTGTACCTGCGTCCATAATCCGTTACACGAGCCGGGATGACAATACATAATTTTCTATACGCGTAAGTGCAACGTAATTTAATATAAAAAATATCGAGACTATACCGGTAGAAATCAATATTATTAGGTATTGAAACTTCGTATTCTTTTCTATATTAATCTCTCATAATTAATTGCAAATATTTCTCAATATCTGATTGTACTATATGTGATAAACCCAAGTAAACGTAAATAATACGAACATTCTAAAAGATAGGTGTAGTTTATAGATAAATTTTAATTATGATAAGATGTTTATTGATAAAGAAATGAATTAATCAGAACAAAATTATCTCATGTACTAAGATAGGTAATTATTTAATTTAGCTATGCTAGCACAAATGAAATTACACTTATTCGACGCGTTTTTGCACAAAACGAAAGAATCTGGCGGAAAAAAGTGTCGCTCTGCCGCGAAATGAGTTATTAATCGTCAAAATTGATGACTTGATAGGTTAGGAAACCTGTCATATTCAGACCTGACAGATTCATTACACATACCTTAGTAAGGCGAAGATTTAATATTTAAATTTATTTAATACCACGAAGCATGCTCATATCGTAACATTTCACCGGTATTCTGATACAGGTTTCCTAACGTGTCAAGTCGTCAACTTTGACGATTAATAATACACTTCGCGGGGCAGAGCGACACTTTTCTGCCAGATTCTTTCGTTTCGTCCAAAAACGCATCGAATAAGTATAATTTCATCCATATTTGTGCTGACGTAGCTAAATAACTACCGATATGTTTTAGGTATGGTCTAATCCGACTTGTTTGACATTGGACTTTGACATATGCATATTATTCATCGAGTTATATAAAGGATCATAATACAGAATTGAAATATATAGAAGAGGAGCATCGAACAATGAAACAATACTAGATATTTCAAGCCAGCTGTAGTTGCCAGCCATTCTGATGAATACGGATACAAATATGATAATGAGATATTGTCCACCAAATATAACTTTTACTGAGATTTGGGTGGAACATGGCGTGCCCAAATGTTTCATGGACACTATCAGTAGCACTATAATTTTCTTGTACTTGCTTATATTTGGCTCTATCCAACTTTGGATGTATCGCAAGTATGGGACAGAAGTCAACGCCAGTACATTGCCCAAAAGTAAATTGTACAATTTGCAAAAGTTCCTTCTGTACTTTGTTCCTTTTTTGAGTATATTAAGAATAATTTTACAAGCCACAATCTTGGATGATGGAACGATTTACGGATACATGGTAAGACTTATAGTATATAGTACAAGCTTTTTGATTATGTATCATCTTAACAAATAACATGTTCTCTGATAGAATTTTGCAGACCTCATGCTCAACATGTTACTGTTGTTTGACAATGTTATTTAAATTAAACGTATAGTGTGCTTGTGAGAATGTTCTTCTATTATTGTGAACTTTTAACAAATAAGTAAATAAGTCTTCCACCTTTGCAGATATTGACAACAGTATTGACAGTGATAGCTTATTCATATTCGGTTTATATCTTAAGAGTTGAAAGACATCAACTATTGCCAAGTGTGCCACCGCATGGTCATGGATTGGTGCTGCTGGGTTTCTGGACATTAACATTTGTTGTTGAGAATTTCGTTTTCGTTAACATTGGAAAGCTCGAGTGGTGGTTCCATTTGAATTCGTAAGTCCACATCGAAGAGATTTATGTTGGGAATAATTGAATATGGTCACAGAACAATTCGCGAGTGCAAGGAATAGATGGATCTTAAAAAATTAAGTGGTTATTCAGTTTGAATTTATTATATCTTTTACAGTCTCACGGACCAGATTGAGATGGCGTTATTTGTTTTACGCTATGTTAGCAATTTACTAATTTTTGCTCTCGGTTTACGGGCTCCTGGCATTGCCGGCAATCTGGATCATGATTATCGCGAGCTTAACAATGCCCTAGCCACGCAGCCACGATATTATTACAGAGTAAATAATACATATTATTTGCACGATATCCCGTACAGTATATGCGATTGAGAAAATATTAATTCGTACGAAGATATTTGCAGAGGCAAGAGGATAATTCTTCCACTTGGGCGAATCTGTGGTACAAAGTTAAAGTCTTGGCACCATTCTTGTGGCCGAAATCTGATTTCCTACTTCAACTGAGGGTAATATTTTGCTTCTTGCTGCTGATGTCGGGGCGTGTGATAAATCTTTTCGTGCCGATTTACAATAAAAAGATCGTGGATAGTGTTTCGTTTGCTCCTATAACATTCAGGTGAGTGGAATTATAATACGATCAAGCTTGTGCCGATGTGTAACGGTGAGTATCGACTCACCGAAGTCTTTGAAGCGAAATTTTGTCGCTTCAGTCAGACGTTTACTTTTATTACAGATGGGATATAGTATTGATATATGTAGCGTTCAAATTCTTGCAAGGTGGCGGCACCGGGGGTATGGGTTTGTTGAATAATTTAAGATCCTTCCTCTGGATTCGTATTCAGCAATACACTACTCGCGAAGTGGAGGTAGAGCTGTTCAGGTGAGTTCAATTAATTAGTCGATCGTTAAAATCGCATCTACGAAAGTCGTCCGTCTTCTTCTCCAGTTGTGTATTCAATGAAGCGGCACATGACTTTATGATTTCTTATATGTGTCTTATTTTGTAGGCATTTACACAGCCTGAGTTTACGTTGGCATCTCGGAAGGAAGACCGGCGAAGTGTTACGAGTCATGGACCGCGGCACGGACTCGATCAACAATTTGCTCAATTATATTCTCTTTCAAATCTTACCGACCATTATTGACATCGTCATAGCCATCGTATTTTTCGTCAGTGCATTTAACAAGTGGTTCGGTCTCATTGTGTTTACAACCATGATTCTCTATATCAGTAAGTACAATGGTAGTGATGCTGGTAGTAATAATAACAGTAATAACAGTAGTTGGTAGAGAGAGTAGTAGTGATAATAGTGGCAGAAATAATAGTAGTAAAAGCAATAATAATAAAATAAAGTAAATGCACGTGAGAGTAAGTAACAACTGATCAATCACACGAGAGTAGCAATCTGTGAACCGCAAAGTTTAATTTTTTCGCTCACGCACCATAGTCTCTCTCACTTAAGTCTCTCACTTACATTTTTCTTCAATCTTCACCTCTCAGTTGCTACGATCGCTGTCACTGAATGGCGCACCAAGTTCCAAAGGCGCATGAATCTGGCCGACAATGCTCAGAAAGCGCGCAGCGTTGACAGTTTGCTGAACTTCGAGACGGTCAAATATTACGGTGCCGAGACGTACGAAGTTGCAAGCTACAGGAAAGCGATTTTAGACTTCCAAGTGCAAGAATGGAAATCCATGATCACGTTGAATATTTTAAACACCTTGCAAAACATCATTGTCTGCGGCGGCCTGTTATCCGGATCATTATTGTGTTTACACATGGTCAGTACTCGTGCTGAAACGCGATGTAATCACTTCAAGCGCAACTCGCATAACAAGTGGTTTTGTCCTGTAGGTTGTAGCTAATGAAGGTTTGACGATTGGCGACTACGTCTTGTTCTCCAGTTACATAATACAACTTTACGTACCGCTGAATTGGTTCGGCACGTATTACAGGTAACAAATTAAGAGACATCATCTATTCATAATATTCCTTCATTTGCCACACACGTCGATTAACGCATCGTTAATCAACTCGATTCAAATTTCGCTATCGAGCGACCTATTCACTCGATGTTTTCACGTTTTCCGAAGGGCTATACAGAAGAATTTCGTCGACATGGAAAATATGTTCGAGCTACTCAGGGAAGAGCAAGAAGTGATAGACGCGCCAGGAGCCGGTTTGCTGGAGGTCAAGCATGGGCAAGTGGAATTCTCAAACGTATCGTTTGGTTACTCCCCGGAGAAACTCGTGCTAAGGAACGTTAGTTTCGTCGTACCTGCGGGAAAAACCATCGCATTGGTCGGCCCGTCCGGTGCCGGGAAGAGTACCATAATGCGATTACTGTTTCGCTTCTACGACGTCGACCAAGGTGCGATTGTAATCGACGGGCAGAATGTCAAGACCGTTACGCAGGAGTCTCTCAGAAGCATCATAGGTATTATCACATATCGTTACTGTCGATTTCAACGCTTGTGCGACGAGTGATCACCCTGAAAATTTTTATCGCCCAATTCACAGGTGTTGTGCCGCAGGATACGGTCTTGTTTAACAATACGATAATGTACAATATCCAATATGGTCGCATCTGTGCGCCGGAAGTTGATATAATCGCCGCTGCGAAACATGCGGATATTCATGACAGGATTCTCACATTCCAGAATGGCTATGAGACACAGGTATGTTGCGAAATGTATCGATCAGTCACCTTACTCGTATACACTTTGGAAACCGCGCGCCTGCATCGCTCGATCTCTTCCTCAGGTCGGTGAAAGGGGACTTCGGCTAAGCGGCGGCGAGAAGCAACGTGTCGCGATCGCACGTACGATTTTGAAAGCGCCGAACATTGTGCTGCTGGATGAAGCTACAAGCGCCCTGGACACCCAAGCGGAACGCAACATACAAGCGGCGTTGAACAAAGTGTGCGCTGGACGAACCACTATTATTATAGCGCATAGACTGTCCACGATCATTCACGCGGACGAAATCCTGGTATTGAAGGAGGGCGAGATTGTCGAGAGAGGCAAACACGAGGAGTTAATTTCACACGGCGGTGTCTATCACGCGATGTGGCAAGCACAGCTGCAAAACGGTCAGGAGAACAACAAGGATGAAGATTCTTCTACGCATGAAGGCAATGCTGTATTGTAATTAAATTTAAGTTAATAGCAAGTTAATAATTAAGTAATAACTAAGTTAACAATAATAATGAACAAGACTTGTAGAGTTCTATTTTTCAAAATATAATATTTATTGTTGATAAGATCATTGTACTGAGGCGGGCGAGAAACATATTATACAGCGTCGGAGAACTTGAGGAGAGTTCTCTTATATTGTTAATGTTTTCGCCGATGGGTAGACAGAGCTGTATCAGTCTGGTGCTTCTTAATCAATGAAAGGAGGGAGAACTATGATGTTAGTCCGATGTAAGTTTTCATGCAAACGCATTCATTTCATCGGAGCTTAATCCCCGATTATTACTGGTACGTAGAAGTGTTGGACAACTGATCGAGATAAGAGAGATGATGAATGTAATAAAATACTCATATATAAGTTTGACTACATTCTTATGTATGAGAAATGTGTCTAGAATATTTTTTTCTCTGATGGATAACAATAAATAATATACAAGATTGGAGTAGTAACACTTATTATCTGTAATGCCGTTACAAGCTGTTCTTTTCCCGTGATAACTTGTAATGGCGCTGTTTTTCTTTTCGTTGATAACGATACGGACATTATTCTTTGCATATGTAAGATACACATGCACACAAAACAGCTTGTAAACTCGGCATAAAAAATAATTAACTTTTCGAACCTGTTTGCCAACCAATGAGAACGCGGAGCTGTTATCAATCGCCGGTACGTACAGTCCGATATAAAATGCTACTCTGGCGCACGTGTGTATGAACCAGTTGGCGGAAGACGTAAACGATATACCGGTGAATGTGTTTCGTAGGAGAGTCTTTATTTTTCCATCGAGTAGCTTAGGTTTACCGTGACAATGGAGTACATTTACCGATTACCGTTCTTAGTCCTGGAAGTGCCTAATTTAAAATTAAAGAGACCGTCCTGGATGGGGAAACCCAGTGCTATGGTAGTCTTCTCCTTCATTCTCCTCTCGTACTTCTTGGTGACGGGAGGTTAGTTGTTCCACGTACATACGTACAATAATAATGTTGCTTTCAACGCAACATTCCGACCTTTAAAAGCGTATTGCGTTTCGCAGGAATCATATACGATGTAATCGTTGAACCACCTAGTGTAGGATCCACGACAGACGAGCACGGTCATACAAGGCCCGTAAGTTGAGAGAATTTTCATTTGTCGCACGATTCAATTCTTCAATCTTACAAGCCGGCGTGACTTTTACAGGTAGCATTTATGCCGTATCGTGTAAATGGGCAATATATAATGGAAGGTTTGGCCTCTAGTTTCCTTTTTACAATGGGAGGCTTAGGCTTTATCATACTGGATCAGACTCATGGTCCCTCAACGCCAAAACTTAACAGAGTTCTCTTGATATGTGTCGGATTTATCAGCATAATTGTGTCATTTATCGCATGCTGGATATTCATGAAAATGAAGCTTCCGTAAGAGATATCATTTACATTTTGAGATAACATACGTCATTATGTTATGTAATTAATTTTCTTCTTATTTTCAGTGGATACCTGCAATCCTAAATGTAAGCTATTACAGATTCCATGGGTGTAATTAATGCCATTTTTATATCATTCAGGATATTGTAACGATGGATTACTGATTTTTATAATAAAGTGTAATAAATCAAATGAGATATTTTTAGTACTCTCATTGTTGGTAATAGGGTAAAAGAAACGTATGTACGATTTTCCAAATATATTTAGATAATATTGTAAACACATTAAAATATTATATTATTAAATAATATTCTTAATATAGCTATGTATTTTTCCAATATATTATATATTTTTCCAGAAATACATATAGATAAGAAAAGAATATTAGTTTTTTCTGTTGCAATTGTTAACAAATACTTGAATTGACACACAAATTTTAGTAATGTGATCATGTATTTAGTACAAGAAATAATTCTCTAAAAATAATTACTTACCTTGGAGACTCATATTTAACTAGTCAAAAAATTAATGTTCTATTATTTTCTGTTTTCTTTATTTGCTCTTTCCATATTGCACTGTATCGTATAATCCATTGTATAAGAGTTTTATACAACATATATGTATATATGAAGATACTTATATTTCATAATAATTTAATAAATATACGTTTTGTAAACATGCAATGATGTGTGTGACTTTAGAAAAATCCTACAAGAATGTATACAAGATTGATGATGCTTGGGGCTGTGGAAGTAACGTGGAATCAATAATTTCACGTTTAGAAATGCCGTTCCTTTTATCACATAATAGTTCAATAAACAATAAAAAAGTTAGAACTTTATTGGTGTCGTATTTAGGCTCAACTGTAGAATCTTGGCACATTCCGTGGATGTTGAACATAATTTTTTTTCTTGGACTATGTTTTCCTGAACTATATAGTCCTACATTACTAGTTTAATCATTAAGTGGCATTTATTATTAATCAATATTATGTTCAGTCTCTTTTGTTTACTATCTTTCATTAAGAAATGCTTCGTATCGTATCTATAAACGAATAGCAAAGCTCCTGTAAACAGATTTCAATATAATTCGTGAATGCAATAAAATTGTAATTTTGTAATTAAGAATTTTGTTTCTTACTTAGAAAAGTCGCTGCTTTTCTCTATGATGTGTTCGAACTCTGCAAAGCTCAAAGCACCATCGTCATCTAGATCAGCTTCGTCAAGAATATACTGAAGAACTTGCTGCATGTCATTGTCATTTAATCTCTGAGGCGCTGTTAATCTGTCAACCACTTGTCTCAAATCTCCCACGCCAAGCATATCATCACCATCAAAATCTTAACAAATAAGACATTGGTAATATGTTAAATATTTTAGTCTAATGTACCACGGATAATTAGAGAATTCATTTACTTACCAAATATTCTAAATGCATGTTCAGCTTTTACAGCCTTTGGGGCAGCATTACTAAATACTGACATCATGTCCAAGAAGTCTTCAAAGGTACAATCACCATCTTGACTAGAGCTGAAGACCTTGCAAATTCTATCCCCAAAGGGATTTACTCTAAGCTCAGGATATTGTAAGACTTTAGACATTGGAAGCTTCGCATTCCTGTTGTGCCCGACTTTCTCTGGTGCAAGTGCCTTGAACTTCTGATGGGCACTATTACGAAAACAAAAATAGATAGTTCTGTAGAAATATGCAATTAAGAAAAGCTCATTCAATAAATAAATCATAAGTAAAACTTACTGTAAGACCTCCTTCTTCGTGAAATATGTTAAATCCTATTAAAGAGAAAATAGTAATTACATCGTTTAAAACATTAGAATATTAAAATTAAATATTGGAGATATAAAAATGAATACGCAAACCAGTCTTACTTGATAATCCTGCAACTCTTCTTCGCTAAATTGGCTGCTTCTTGCACCCATGTTTAAACAAGTATTTCTACACAATAAACGCACGTCACACATTAGTTATCTTCACCATAAAGTTCAATTGTTATCATCATTAGTCATCATTAGTTCATTCTGAATTCTTTTTAAATTAACCTCACATTTTCTCTGTTGTATTTAGCGAATTTGGAAATGTTGGGCAAGTAAATTGTTTTAAACAATGAATTTTTAGGTGGAGCTATAAGTTTAAATATAAAAGAGTACTACAGAAAAACTGAATAATTTTCCCCCGTACAATTTTTCGTATTTCAGCTACTTCCTCCCCATATGTACCATTCGCCACCGCTAGTTTCGCGCACGTCGCAACTGAAAAAGAGACATCTGTTAACAAAGGTTAACAAAGTAATAAGCAGAAAATCGATCAGAACGATATTCTCGCAACAAAAGACAAACAATGTCGATGACAGTGATCACAAGAATTGTCAAAGATATCTACAACGACCCGTTTAAGTGGTAAGTCACGAACAAGGCTTGTTGGCTTTAGGTACTTTGAAATACATTCGATACTTTGGTGAATATAACCTCTCAATCTACTCGTGCGACATTCGCTAACTTAATTCTCGATGCATTAATGATTAAATTGTTAAGTTGCTATTGATATAATTTTTATTAATTGATATTAATGCATAAACTCAATTGCTACTCTAAGCTGTACTTGGTTAAACGTTTTTGTAGAAATGATTACCATGTGACTAGATGTTCTGTATTAGTACGTTCCGTGGCGCTCGAATTACCGATAACCCGTGTTAAACTTTTCGTTCAGTTTGATACTTTCGCTCTAAAACGACATATAATTATGAAATATTTTTTATTAATTATTATGAAACATTATTATTTAACCAATAGAATTTGGCTCATAATAGAACATCGTGGAAGCCCATGTGACGTGTACAAGTCACGTCAAATTAGTCCGGCACGGAACGTATTAAATAAATTCAATCTATTACACGATATTATAACGTACTTGTTTTATATTATAATCTTTTTTCTTATCAACAGGTCAGCGGTGAAAAACATAGGATTTTTCGTAATAGGCATCAAGATAGCCTTGGAATGCAACGGAATGATGCTTATGCCGCCCAATCCCGTTTAAGTTTGCGTAGAATCTAGAAGAGAATATTATATTAAACTCTACAAATGCCTCCATATCTCATGCACTGATCATAAACAATCATCAAAAGAATTATACTGAAGTCTGACTGTAATAGTCATTTGGACTATTTAATTCTACTCATGCCATGTAACAATGTATATTTTATTATTAAAACAATGTTACAGAATTTTTTTCAATAAATATTGTTTCTGTTACCGCTGAATATCAACTGCATTTGAAATAACCGCGGTTTTCTTTTTACCCGTTTAACTTTCTGTTCTGCTCAGAAGATGGCGACAGATATTCTTTGTTAGGTTAGGTTGGTGATTGCTCGTAATATAAACACCTGATCTGTCCTAAATATGTTCATAGTGCAGGTTCATGGACAGACGTATCGACGACTTTTGTTTTATCGTTTAGTCAAACGCTAATATACATATATAAAACTGTTGTCAATTTGCAGGCTGACGACAATTATACTTGGATGACTAATTTCATTATTTAATGGTATATCTTGGTGGTTTTAATGATTGCCTAATAGAATGCAATTATCTCATCGGAAGATGCGTGATAAGTTGCTTTAGTGTGATGTTATCAATAATATAAACTGTTGAACACAATTGCGACATTTCTAATCTAGGTGTGACACCTGTAGTTTATCAACATGAAGGAAGAACTCGAGGGTTCGAACGAAAACATAAATTTATCAGGTAAGCTATCATGCATTTCTTTAGATAATATTGGTAACTGGAATTAAATCGAAGGAACAGAATTATTCCATCTTTAAACAATGCCTGTGCTCAGCAGAAATAGCTACTGGCAAAAAGCACTTACTAAGTTGTTTTTTTTGCTGAACACAGCAAATATTTTCAAAACGATAAACGCTTGTTATGATGAGTAAACAGGAGACATTTTTTTTAGATATAATCGAAGCACTACTAAGCTCTTTGGATGATAAAAATGAAGATGTTAGGCAATCCGTAATCCAAGCAGTTGTGAGGATAAGTGAGAATAATCAAGATGTTGTCATACAAACAGCTGTATGTTTTTGGGAACAACATAGAAAGGTTAATATTCAATATATTTCAGATTAGAACTTTCTCTGTTGTATGTATTGTATTATAATATAATATTATCATTGTTGTTTTAAGAAGATATCTACAGAACATAAGGTTTCTTTATTGAACGTAATGTCCAATATGTGCAAATATATATCTACAAGTTTAAATCCAGACTTAGCGTCGTCTGTCGCTGATTTAGCAGTAAATGAATTAATAGGAGAGACAGAGACTGGAGCAGCTGAATTGTTGGTTGCCCTTTCTAAAACACATTGTACTCAAGCTATGGGTGGACTTTTAAGTAGGTGAGTGAAACAATCATATATTTTATATCTAGGTTTACCGTAACATAGACAAATTTATTTTACTCGACAAACTACATAATATTAATCTCCTTTGTATTATAATAAATTATCATAATAAATTATGTATATAGGTTAGAACCTGGGGTACTTCCTCACCATGCACTAGTCTTTACAATAGGAAAGCTTGCGACAGCCAATCCTCCCGGGATGTTGTCCTTCATTAAGTTAACACTAACGATTATTTTGCCAATGTTGAACCAAATACGTGAAGAAAACCTGAAGCGGGCGATTTGTTTCAGTAAGTACACACGCTTCATCATATCTTTGGTAACAACAAGAAAGCTATATATGATTATCTATTCATAACTTTCAGCAACCGGCAAACTATGTGAGGCGATAAACGACTGTATAATGAATACTTCGGAAATCAATAGCTATACGTATCAGGAAGAAATTTATTCTGTCTTTGACATTCTGACTTGCAACTGGTTGAAAATGTCCCGTGATTTTAAAACAACTGAAGCTGTTTTAACAGCATTAGTTCCTATGATACCTCTATTACCTCAAGAAGTAGTTAGCGAAAATATTGTAAAATTGATACCCATGTGCTTAAATCTCTGTAAAAAGCAAACTGTACGTTTAGTCGCAGTAAAGTAAGTTTCACGTTTCATAATTATGTAAACAGAGAGATTGCGTGGCTGTTTCTAGATATTTTGATAAACCTAAAGAAATTGCTTTTATTTAATATCATAGGGTTTTGGCTGTAGCCTTGAATAGTGCGACGACTATTGACGACAAAGAAGCACTCCATCCATACATGGAACAAATACATCAAATTTTATCTGGATTCGTCAGTATATTTCCTTTTGAAGCGTCACGCGATGTACTTCTTACGCATTACGAGGTTTTACAATGTTCTAGGTCATTGGTCATTTTGTACCCCGAAGAAGGTCTCGAGAGGTAGTTGACGTTATAATTTTGTCGGATTGTGAAATTCTTAGAATATCAATCAGCTACCACGCTTCTTTTCAGAATTTTACAGCAAGTGAAGTCTTCAAATGCCAGTCAACGTGCTCGTGCTCTGATTGTTCTCAGACATCTCATAAACACTCTTCCGGCAGAGGTACAAATATAGTTCGCTCAACAAAAGTACGATTGATTTCTGACATATTGCTTTCTTAGGACGATGGATCATTGAACAGAATTGCGCTCACTCTGCAGGAGTCTCTCGGAGAGACTAACGCTCTGCAGATGGTCGGTGCCATAGTGGCGCTCGCAGCAAGACCGACTTTCTCTCTTTCATCGTCGCAGAGAGTTATATTCATTCGCTACATGGTAGTTTCTCGCTCATTTAAGCCACGTGAAGATACAATCGGACAAATAATTAAATTTGATTCAAACAGGTGACCCATTGTGAGACCAAGAGCAACGATACGGAAGCGTACTCCGATGCTTTGCATTTGCTTGCAACAACAGTCGATGGAGCTGAGCTGTGGCTGTGGCCGTGTCTGATAGATATTCTGTTGGACTCGACTTACGTAGCATCCGTAAGTGACGGCTCTGCTCATCCGGGATACTTTCATCGCGTTAAATGCTCCATGCCCAATTTTGATCGTCGCTTTTCTGGTTTCTCACAGGCTGCGTCCGTGTTACGTGCGTTATCCCCGTTAGCCGCGAAGATAATATCAAGCGAGATTTCCTCGATGCCAGAGAGGGATTTCCCGGGTACAAAGGTGGTGGGCAGATGTCTGGAATTATTGGGCGAGCCAGCTAACCGCCTCGCTGCAATCACCTTTCTCAAAGTGGCGGCGCCCCTGGTAGGCCATCGATTGAAACCTTATTGGGATAAAAAGCTGTCGGAGCTCTCACAGTTTCTCCAAGATGAACAACGGTGCATCCTGAAGAATTCCGTACAACGGTAGTAATTTCACGGAGATCACTTTGTGTCGGAGAACGCTCTCATATTGACACGCTGTATCGTTACATTGCATTTGAAATATTTCTCTTTCTCCGTTTCAACCTCCAGAGATCTGATCTGGGAGAAGAAGGTGGTGGAGTGGCTGGAAGAGAGCGTGAAGCTGGAGGGGGATTCGTGGGGCGTCAAACTCGCCGACGAGCTGGCGTTGAAGTCGAGCGCGCCCGGTGTAGCGCCGTTGTTTGCACTGATGTGCAACAACCATGCTCACATTATTCTGCTGATCGAACACGCGCGCTCTTACGGCGTTAACAAGGAATACTCGCGGGCGGTCGGTATCTGCGCCAAACGACATCTCAGCACCGTGCTGAAGGTGATGGACGAGTTCTGCACCGCTGAGGACACCCGGAAGGTCCCCGTGAGGATATTAGGCTTCGTGAAGGATTTCGTGAAGGATTTCTCGAAAGCCGCCGACTCCACCGAGGCAGCGAAGGCGGGCTTGTTGCAGTCTTACGCGGAAATCGCGCAAAGAGCGGATCCGGAGGACTTCTTCCCGACTTACGAGGAGCACGTGTTACCGTGGACCATCAAGAATTTGACTGCGTCCAAAGAACTGTTCACGAAGGAAGCGGGACTAGCGGTCTTGGAACAAGTAAGCTTCATTCACTTTGAGGGGGATAAGGTATTCTTTCTCAACTCGTCGTGTATTAATAAGATCTCTGTTTCTCAAGTTGAGCAAAGCTGTCCACCCCGCTAGATGGGCCGGATCTAAGGGCTTACTCATGAAAGGTACTACTCTGGCTCTTCTAATGGGAATGTTGCAATCATCAACTGGATATAGACCGTTGCAACTTTATCCGGCGATACTGAAAGCGGCCATCTCTATAATGTACTCCTTATTCGATCACGTATTCATAATTTTGCTTAATCACACATTACGTTGTCTACTCTTTATTCGATCACTCATCATACTTCTTTCACCGAAATCAACGCAAATATGTGATTTTCTAAATATTCCCGCAGACGTATACCTCCGACACTGAGTCACGAGGAGAATGAGATATTCCTCACTGGAATACTGGACAAGACAATCGGGTCTACTACAGAGGTATCGGAATTTAAATCGTACCTACAATGTCGTACACTTGACTGTATGTGAATGACTAATGGATGTCTTCGTTCTAGATCGTTTTACTCCTACAACCAGACATATTGCAACAAGTTACGGATGAACTAGGGATTTTATCCAACGAGATTATATCCGATTCAGCGGACATGTTAGCCACATTAATCGACATATTGTTACCGTGGATGCAGACCAAATCGAGTATAGAGAGGAAAACAACTTTGTTAGTGCTGGATACCGTACTTAGGTAAGCAGCCTTATTCTCTCTCTCTCTCTCTCTCGTGTAAATATCGAAATTATAATCTGTAAATGCACTTATTCCCAGATCCTACTACAATTCTATAAAATATACATACCCGAGCGGCAAGTTCGACGCCGGGAAGCTTGTGGGAAGAACTTTATCCTGGTTTGCGGTCGCTGAGTCCTCGTTGAGACCTCTGGTAGTGGATAGCGTGCTTCTCTCTTTGAATATTGCGTGCCGTCACCGCTCGATCATGTCCGACAGCACGTTGGACGAAGACCTGAAGCGAATCAAGACAAACATTACTACCAACGACAAGTCGATAATTAACGAAGCCATGAGGGTCAGTGGTTGAATATTATTTTCCTATTGATTTTAATTATTCGCGGCTGATCTCTCGTTGTACGAGATGAAACGGTTTTAACGAATGGTTATAAACTGTGGCACATTTATTGTCGCAAATAGAACCTGGCCAAAGCCGTGTCGGAAAGAATTCCTAGCAACGAGATAATCGGATTGGCGGAAGGACTGATAGAGGGCCTGTTGTTCGGCGGAGAGGCGGGCCTGGTAGTCGGCATAGCTCTTTCGCAACATTTCAAGATTAAAGGATCGGAAATGTCCAGAAACGACGTCGGATTGATCGGTACGTGAGGCACAAATTATTCTCTCACTCACAAACGTCCATCTGATCTTATGATCTCGCTAATCGAATATTGTTTCCCTTATGTTGAAGACAATATTATTACGCAAATGAGGCACATGGAAAACGCGAACTGCAGGAACACCGCGGCGGCAGCTATAGTGTTACTGATGGCGCATCACCCGGAAGAAGTGATCGAGCGTTTGTTACTTCAGCCACTGCCGTTGGATCGGGCCACCGAATTATGCTGGAAAGAAATCGGTAACAACGATCTCGGACACCGGGTACGATACCATCTGCTTACGCGTATAGATGCGTACAACAGACTTCATGATGCATCAGATATGTGTAAATTAAGACGTCTCTTTGATCATTCATTTCAGGCTCTGGAGTTGCTGCTGATAAAACTCGAGGCCAACAATCTGTTTACCGAGTGCACCATGTCGACGCATCCTGAGAAGAACAACACCGCGTCCTTCCAATCCCTGACGGCCGTGATAGCTCTGAAGCACCTGCTTCAAACGTCGAACACCGAGAACCTGATCGACAAGCAGTTACCGAAGTTACTGTCGACCCTTCTCAAATACCTCGCCGGCTGGCTTCAAGTCGACGCTCCCGCGGCGGTGATGAACACCAAGTACGGCTACGTGCCGAATCTGGAAGCGAGGAAGATCAAACCGCACGCGGAGGTGTACTCGGTGTTGACTAACGTACTGGTCATCGTCAACCCGAACGCCGCGTCGACCTTGATGAAGGAGATCGTACGTATCTCGAATTCATCGCGTTAATCGACGTACGCGTTCTTCCTCGCTGATCTTTCTACACTGACTGAGATCTCTCGGCGCCTAGGCGTCATCCTCCACGGCCAAAATCGAGGAGAACGTGGTGCTGACCGTGCGGAAATTGATCGAGTGCATATTAACGAGAAACGACGTGCTCTCGACTATGGCGCAATCCATAGGCAAGCTGATGACCAGCACGATAGCGATACAACGGGCTGTCGCCGCCACGTTCTACGCGGAGCTGATCGGCAAAGTGGATTGCGGAGTGATATGGCTCGACGCCATAATCAACACCTTATACGAGGCGAAGACCGACTCGTCAGCCTTAGTGCGTACTCTCGCTACCACCGGGCTTTCTAGGATAGCCTACGTAGACCAAAAGCTGGTAATGTATCCTGTTCCTTGCTCGTCCTGCGTTCTCCTGTAACGTAATAACGAGTTATCGGTTCTTTCAGATTGACGTATATTTTGATAACTGCATGGACGCCTTACTCGACGGACTGGAGGAGCCGGCTAGTGGCGAGGGGGGCAATGAAGTGGTGCTCGAATCGTTGCGCGGCCTTTCGGTACTATTGTCCGTTCAATCCAAGACACCTATCAGCCCACGAGTGGTGATGGCCCTGAAGCCGTTTATCGAAAAGGAGAACGTGGACATGAAATTCGCCGCTATAAGTGTCTTGGGCGCGATAGCGACTAATTGGCAGACAACGGCTGCATTGGCAGACGACAATGATTTGTCCGACCATCTTCTGTGGTGCTTACCGTGCCTGATCGTCAGACTGGAAGACGCGAATATACTGGTGGCCAAGGTACATCGTCCCTGTGTCGAATGATCTATTTACCGAACTGTTTCACAGAGTTTCGTCGTAACACGATGCGCGTGTTTTTATGCCAACAGATCACACAGGAGACCTTGTATAAAATTGCAAATATTCTGCAATGTGAGAAATCATCGCGCGCGATACGTATCAATCTGGGGCCGCAAGCGAAATTTAACTTCGGGACTTTCGCGAAGGACCTGGTAGATTGCTTGAAGGAGGAACTCCCGCAGAGAGCGGAAGAACTCAGGTAGATACGCGCGTAGATCATGCATTTCCGGTAAAAGGACTACGCTCTAAATCTCGTTATTTCCCCGCCAGAAATGCCGTCGTCCGAGGATACTCCAGATCGGAGAATCATCAAACCAGAGCTACATCTGCGCTGCTTCTAGGATTGTTCGGCTCTCCGAGACCTGAGGACATACAGAGACTGTTGCAACTCTTAAACGACAAAGAAAACATTGTGAAGATACGTGCTTCGCAAGCTCTTTCCTGTTGCCTTTCGATTTAACGTAAACAATGCATCATAACATGTTCCTCGAGTCAAGCGAGAAATGTTATTTTTGTGATATCGTTATATAAATAGTTATATATTAATTATATACACATATATATACATGTACATGAGAGTTATGTGTAAGATATAATGTATTTACCGAGTCCAATTCATTTGCAACGCATATCGTTATGATGCACTTGATGAAACGTGTGATCTCTCTCTACTGTAATTCTCGTATAAATTATTAGAATCATCTGACGAAACGCGCATATACATACACACGTTAAAAATAATATTAATCGTACCAAAAGATTACTCCTTTGCGAAAGATGTGATGTTAACATTTCTCAACATACATTATACATTCATATATAACAATCATGCCTGTAAGATGTAACAACTCGAGGTAGGGCAATGTAAAATATATATTTTACACATATTCGCATATTCGGTATATTTTTTATGAAAAACAAAAAACTATAACTGTATAAATATTATATAGTCATAAATGTACCATTATAAGATAATTATAAGTACCATTATAAGAACTTGTAACAATATATGATGTATTGCGCGACAATTATTTGCTATGTAATTTCTCTATGCAGAAACTCAATTGCTGGAGACGTTGAAGCAAATGTCGCATATTGGCGCTGGATTGCCGAAGGCCTGACTGGTCTCCAGCTACCTCTTGCCGCTGACCTAACTCAAAGTGCAGCCTGGCCAAACGCTCTTGCTGCTCTCGTATTTCCGTCATTTGTTCCATGCTGCAATCCTTTCCTAACAAATGATGAACGGCCCGATTAAGAATCGTATCAATTCCAACAGATCTGTTCGACAAGCCTATATATACCGACCAAACGCTCGTAAATTACCGCTGTGAAAATCTTCCAACAATTGCAGCAAAGCTTGCTCCATATGTCGAACATCGGGCACCTCTGACAAAAAGCAATGGTGTTTGCATGGCACCATAGCTTTACATAACAATGCCAGAACAAAACAAAACATGCACTTAAAGTAAAACTCAAAGAACTCAAATATAAATTATAACTACAGTGTTTAGGTTTATATAATGAAATTATAAAGTCACAACTAATGAAGAAAATATGCAAATATATGTGTATACGTGTGAGCTGGTGTGTACTCATAAAATGAAAACAGAGAACATAATAATACATTATACACTTAATATATCTTCCTGAGGTGGAATACCAATTACCTTTGTGCTGTCGGGCAATTCTCGGTGGATCTGGCCGATTAGGCCTTTGTTTCTCTTTTTCGTTCAGATACGTCAATCGAGATTGGTTGCAAGTGTGACTTGAAGTATTGGCAGCTCGACCAGAAACCATGGAATCTTGACTGGTTGCTTGGCCAGAGCTACCTTTGCTAATGATTGGTGATATTTGTGTGTTGCTTTCCCATAATACTTGTTGCTATAAACACATTACTTAAACAGATAACTATACGTTATTTATGGTTGTTATTTGTGCGGGCAGATATTTCTGATGATTGTGCATTATCATATTGATAAAATATTCTACCGATACATTGGAGTTCTGTGCTTCGGTTTTAGTTGGACGATGAGACCTCGCTGGTGTTGAAGGAGGAGTGGCTTCTCCTCCATGACTTAGTGGTTCCTCGCATTCTTCCTCCTGAACCAACTGCTGCAATTCACCACATCCAACTGCTTCGACCATAGCGATAGTACCGGTTACTGATTCAAGAGAAATTTTTTTGTACGGTTACTTTGTGCATACTTTTAATTTTGTTATACTTAAAAATAACTGATGTAAAAAAATACACTATTTTATGAGAAAATAAAATAAATTGTTCCACTGGTTACGTACACTATATTTTCCCCATGAAATTCTTTAGACACAAGAGTACAATGATTTATCCACTTGACTATTTTTCATAAGATATTTATCAATGTTTATCGCGGAAGCAGCATCAGCTGATTGCACCAGCTGTCCGATCTGTCATTCTGACATTAAGTTTGTTCTTTTTAAATATCTTGCGCTGAGAATTGATCAAGAAAGCACAAATGTTGACAGTAAAGAAATATTGCAATTTTAGTATTTAATTTTAATATAATGTGTTATAAATTTTAAAATGCTTTTCGATGCGTTTCACTTGGTTATCATCGTTATTTTTAAGACAATTACAGACCATCGAATCTTGTGTATTTTCCGTATAAAATAGGATAACTTGTTGAGTTTTATTATTCGAAACTCCAAAATACGTCTAACTTATTATTGAGTTGTATCCCACGACCTCAAACCTGCACTAAGATAGTGGCGGCTCGTAAGAGACTTTCGAACTAAACGTCGATCCAACAAGAAAACAGGCACCGTGTGTTGCGAGTTTTATTTTACGTCGGCGAAGTTGGTAGCGCTGAAAATGCATTGAATGGAGTTTTGATTCGAAAGACTTCCAACTGACTTTCAACTGATCAACGATTTTCTGCTGTGGGCGATTGGTGTGTTATAAATCATTATAATTTGAGAAGTATTTTCGCTGGCACGAATTTGTTTGATAGAAAAGTAATTGGATTTGCATCAAAATGAAGTCCGCGTAAGTATTGTAAAAATTAGTTTTGTTTATTCGAGCGGGATGCCGATCAACAACCGACGACATTGAATATACTCTTGAATATTTTTAATGTTTGACCTTGAATATTTTCCTGTATTTTACTAAATGCAAAAATTTGGTACAAATGTGCACCGTTACGTTGCGAAATAAATATATTTTTCATTTATACATTTTAGACGTTCGAAAACACCAGCACGTAAGCCAGTCCATCGACCGAAAGGGTCCAATATGTTGTCCAAGGATCCTGTGCAGGTTTATTGTCGTCTACGGCCAATGCAGTCGTCAGATGTGTCATGCATGAAGCCTACATCCAGCACAACAGTAGTCATAACGCCACCAGAATCAGCAACTAATTTTAGGACCATGAACAAGGAGATACAAACAACATTTAGTCATATATTCATACCTGATGTAACACAAAAGGAAATATTCAAGACAGTTGCTCTTCCTCTTGTTGAAAATCTTGTTCAGGGAAGGAACGGTCTTCTATTCACATATGGTGTAACTGGTAGTGGAAAAACATACACAATGACTGGAGAACCACAAGATGGTGGAATTATGCCTAGATGCTTAGACGTTATTTTTAATACCATTGCAAATTATCAGACAAAAAAATTTGTCTTTAAGCCAGATAAGTTAAATGGCTTTGATTTGCAAAGTGAGGCTGATGCTATGCTTGAGAGGCAGCAAGAGCTTCATGCAGGTCTCACACAAAGATGTGGAAAGTCTGTAAAATGGTAAGTTTTATTTAATATGTAAAGGTAGGTAAGTATCTTTTATAATAAGAGGGTTGTTTATGATTATATAATAATTTATTAATTCATAAAATTCACAGTCGTAAGGTGGACAGTGATGGAGATAGTAATCCATTAGTAACTCACGAACGTAATGAATCACAAATTGTGACGATCGATCCAGATAATGCATATTCTGTGTTTGTTACATACGTTGAAATCTACAATAATAGCGTATACGACCTGTTGGATGAAGATGACATTAGATCCAAGTGAATATACATTATAGAGAAACTTTTTAACAAGATAAATATTTTGTATATTAAATTATCTCATTCAATGCAGAGCACTGCAGAGTAAAATAGTCAGGGAGGATGGCAACAAAAATATGTATGTACATGCAGTCACCGAAATAGAAGTGAAGAGTGCGGAGGAAGCCTTCGAGATATTTCAACGTGGACAACGGAAAAGACGGGTGGCACACACAGCATTAAATGCAGAATCAAGCAGATCTCACAGTGTCTTTACTATTCGACTTGTACAGGTACTGATCCTTTGAATTTCTTTTGGTCTTAAATATTGGATCTACAGTTTTACACTGATTCCGAGCGGCAAACTTTGATAGAGAGATCTTTTATGAGCAATTACATTTATGTTCCAGGCACCTCTAGATTGCGAAGGCGAACATGTAATGCAGGATAAGCGAGTCGTGTGCATAAGTCAATTATCTCTAGTTGATTTAGCAGGTAGTGAGCGAACGAATCGCACTAAGAACACCGGTCAACGTTTGCGCGAAGCAGGTACGACGTTTTATCTGCCGTATATGTGAAATTTATGAAAGCATTTGCGTATACGAGCATCAAATCGTTTTCAGGTAATATCAATAACTCTCTAATGACTCTACGCTCGTGCCTGGAAATTTTGCGAGAGAATCAGAGTCAAGGTACAAATAAGATGGTACCTTATCGTGATTCTAAGCTCACTCACTTGTTTAAAAACTACTTCGACGGCGAGGGACAAGTAAGAATGATAGTTTGTGTAAATCCCAGGGCAGACGACTATGATGAGACAATTGTACGTAAGAAAATTTTAAATCTTTCTATAAAAAAGAGATGCAACTAACAATATTAATTCCTCTAATATGTCTGTAGCAAGTTATGAAATTTGCGGAAATGACCCAAGAAGTGCAAACTATAAGACCTACTGCTCCAAAATTGGAACTTGGTTTTACTCCTGGCAGGAGACAAGCTAATAAGGTAACAGTCTCAAGTAGTTGTGATTGATTTTTCTTGGCAGTTTCTTCTGAGAGAAGAGAAAGTGACATATTTTTCTTTTTCCAGATATTCAAGGAAGCAAGAAGCAAATTGGAGAAAGAGGGTCGAGCGGAAGCCGCTGATCTAGATGTTGACTTAGGTTTAGTGTACAGGTATGTTATAACTTAGGAAGAGCTGTGATTTTAAGAAATCTTGATTTTATTTCTCGAAATTCGATAATTTATCATATATTATATGATGAAATATTTAATTATATTTCAGTTTGGGCGGACCATTCCCTGAATTGGAAACCATTACTCCGGATAATGATCAAGTAATACCTACTTTGATACAATTTCTGGAGCAACGTATTAATAAGCGCAATATACTTCGTGCAGATTTAATGAGAAAACGTGAGATACTTAGTTTCATAGGAATAAATTTTCCAATTGTTTCAAATAAGATGCTAATATGTATATTAATTTTATTTACAGAAAACGATTTTAGAAAAATGTTGGTGACGGTAGAGCAAGAGAATATAAACTTAAAGGTTGAAGCTGCTTCACTGAAAGCTGCAAATTCACAACAGAAAAGAAAGGTAAATTTTTATCTGTCTATTAAGGAAATCTTTTTAATAATATCGCGAAGAAAATAAAAATACACATGCTGATATTATTTTGTATATTAAACATTTTTAGATAGCTGCATTAGAAGGACATCTCTGTAAAACGGAAACACAAATCGACACTCTGCTGTGTAAATTAAACGGCGCTAATGATACGATACGAAGTTTACAGCAAGAGGTAAATTAATTGTGCTTATATTTATCCACTCAAATATATGATATTTGATATATGATACTTATTGTATGATATGTGATATTTGTTATACGATGATTGCTAGATAAAAGAACGCGATTTGGCATTGAATCAACGTTTGATGGAGAAGCAAAGAGTAAAACAAAAATATAACACTAAAATGCAAGCTGAAACGGATAAAATGAACAAAGAATTGGAAATAAAACTGCGTCAACAGCGTGAACGCCTTCAAGTAATTATTCTGATTCCGTATTTAAAATTCATTTGTAGTTTCAGCGCCTTGAAAGATTAATACACATTCTTGTGCTTATTTAGAGTCAAATGAAGGAAAAGGAAGATAAATTACGATGGGTGAAGCAAATTTTAGCGGACGACAATGATATTGACCCTGCATTGTTAATTCCACAAAAGGAACAAGTCCCAGAATCAGCGGGGAAAGTCTTCTCAGATACCGAGACTCGAAAGTCGCGGAAGGTTATTTATATTTAAATTATATTTTTTTATGAAGTATCGTAAACTGAAGTCGTATTATGTAAGTTAAGAAAAGTGAAAATAATAACGAGAGCTTTCTCTTGTATGCATGCAGGACAACATACCCGTTTCGAATCCGCGCTACAGACGATCGCGAAGTGCGGATAGGTGGGTTGATCATCGACCTGGAGCACTCGTACCACTCGGCACCGTGTTGCAGCCATTGATGAAGAGAAGACGAAGCGTAACGCGACTTACTTCTCCGAAAGAAATTGACGATGCATCCAAATATTGTCTTGTCGCGCAAGAACAAGATACAGACGGGGAACTTGAAACCAAATTATACAAGGTTTGATAGTAAAATATGTTACAAGATACATATACGTATACGCACACACACACACACACACATTATATAATTTTTATAGTAACAGTCGAGAAGCGTCATAAATTGTTTTCCATTTCTCTTCACACAGGGTGACATATTGCCAACAAGTGGTGGCGGAGCACAAGTGGTATTTAACGATATGGAATGTTTAAAACAAATATCGCCAAAGGCAAGGAAACGCAGCGGATCTCGAGAAGAGGCAAATCGAGCAGCTGTTCCTACAGAGATATACCCGAAAAAACCACGAATAACATCTGCAGAATGAGATCTGCAACTGTGCACACCAGGAAATCAAATATTTCATATGATTCGTGTCATTGTAATTTTTCCAACAGGTTGTAAACATTCGGCACAATAGCTTTGACATTTATTATTAGGCCTAGTAATTATGAAATTTTTATTTTATACATTGAAAGCTGTCAAAACTATTTCGAGATAGTGCTGCCGCTTTCTTGGAATACTCACTGGGCTTTAATAAATGTTGATGTTATTATTATGCCGGATACTGTATAAAGCACGTAGTACTTAGCAAGAAAATGCTTTTACCCATAATGTTCTGAAGATTTTCGATACCGAACATCCGTATCGTTTCTATTATAATAATTTTTGTACTTTTTATACATATATATACGCATGTAGTGTACATATTCACACACACACACACACACACGAGAACTAAATTTGACACGAAATTTGTATATTAATTATTAAAATAACGTATGATATACAGAAATTATTGTACATTTTAAAGTGTATATGATACGTTATTATAAAATTATTCAGGATGTATCACGAAGGTGAAAAAGTTTTAGCAGATATAACACGCACAGTTTTATTATATACGTTATACCATGCACAGTTACGTATACAGTATAGTTATGTTTCCTTAAATTGTAAAGATGTATGTGGACGAAGAGATGGATCCGGCAACGAATTAGTGCCTGAGGTATTTCTTCGCAAATTCAAGACTTGATTCTCTTGCTCTGAGCTATAATCCCATAATATATCGCATGTAAAATCATTCTTTTGATATTTCAACAGACTCGCAATTATATTAGGGCCTATCAGCGCAACTTACCGATTTACCACGTTCTCATTGTTACCACTTTCCTTCACGAACGTTACCAGGCCGTACGAATTATGTTTATCTAATGTTCCATTATAAACTAACAGATCATCCACCAATATCTGCAAATTAAAGATATTTTTGTCGAGACCACACAAGTGATAAAATTCGGGGAAATTGTAACAAAGATTGTTTTCTCTAATTCGTTTCTCTTACTGCAAATTCTTTAACTCTTCTCTGCAGAGTCTTTCCGTAATTCCATATCTTGATCATTGATACCGTAACAGGCTGATAAAATATTAGATACACACGATTCGTCTGAAAGGCAATGTAACGGAGACAGTTAACTCGGGAGTGGTTCAGCTGTGACTTTTTTAATGTGAAATTTGATTTATTTCTACTCACTTGTCCAGGGAGTATCGGAGCCAGCCAGGAGTGACGGCCGTCTTTCGTATTGTTAATTCCATCGATAAGTTTGCCCGGTGTGCGAATGTCGTTATCTATGCCTTCTATTATGTTAACGCTCTCGGGGAACGCAGCTATATCTGATGCGAATTAATTGGCATTAAGACGCTATCACAGCAGACATCGGCAGATAAGGTAAATTCTAATTGTAAATAATATTTCGCGATTGCTTCTAATTTTATCTCTAAGTGTGGACATGTTTCTTGATGTTGATTTATTAACTTTTAATAAACATGTAATCGAGAATGATTTGAACATACTATCGGTAGTTAACTTGATTTCATTCCCGTAACTGTCGTATATCTGTATCCCATTGAGGCCGATATAGTAAGAGTCTCCCCATGTAGAGAAAATTATTATTTGATACACAAATCCCTGCGGCATCGACGGGGCCTCGTAGTTCGAGTCCAAAGAACCGATCTCTAAAATCACACACTAATTAATTTAGATAATTCTACCGCAGAAATCGCAGATTTGTCTTAGGAGAACATAACGATCGAGAAAGTGACACGACTTTACTCTTGCTACCTCTTCAGTTATTATATGTTCCTGATATAAAAATCCAAAATTCTGTTGAAAAGTGCTCGGTGAATGAATGAATGAATATGTTCCTGATACAAAAATCCAAAATTCTGTTGATGAGTGTTTGGTGAATGAATTTTCGACGATGAATGTGATGAAAGATATTCGATACGCACCTTCGGACTTGATTAAATCGTTAGGATGATTCGAGAGACATATTTGGGAAACGGGCTTTTTGGTAAAATTAACTTCCTGGGCGAAATCGTAATGGCATGAACCCGGTGCGCGTCTCAACAAGAAGCCTTCGAAGTTCTCATCGTGTAATATCTTACCGTCCAATTTGACTAACAATTGTTTCACCTAAGCGAAGATGGAATCTTTGAAATTCGATTGTTACAACTATAAAGTCTCATTTCGACATATAATAGGTATGTCAGGTATCTTACTCCGCAATAAGATAGTTCTAAAGATGCGTTATAGTTCCAAATCCGCATTCCCGTCAGACACACGTTTGTATTGAAGATGATGGTTATTGTAGTTCTCTTATTCGACGATACATCCGCTAACCACATGTGATCCATTTCCATGGTAATATTATATCCGTCGATCAGTCTCGTTAAATGCATATCACCTGCGTTACAGTGTAAATTGGCGTTTACTAACGGGACAGCCACACCTTGATCTCCGATTAATTCTATACCAGTAAGACCTACGAATAACGTCAATTAGAGTGCGTCCGTTATAACGCTAATTATATGTTTGCTTACCTATTAGATGATGTAAACCCCAATTCGAAATAATAATTAATTCAACTTCTTTACAAGACAGAGCATTAGAAGATGTTTTGTCAGTTCCACCATTCGTGGATAAGTTAGAAGAATTTTCAACGGGATTGTTATTTTTATGTCTTGCTGAAATAATCTGAAAGAATTGTTGCGTTTTACATCACTTTTTTAAGTGAACTTCACTGTATTAATGCAATTAGCTCTCTCACATCGTTGATCGTTGCTGTGATCGGGCGAATCGTTTCCGTCTCCTCGGAGTCTATTATTGCATTATTGTATTCTATGAAGGTATTATCATGTTTTGATATCATTTCCAGAATATTTTCATCCGTCGTAAATAAAATAGTCTACATCAGCCAATATTTGCATGCGTTATGTATCAAATTAATTTCAAAATACATTACTATATATTCGATAAGAAATTATAGTGAGAGCGAGTGAGTCATTTAACTTAAATAGATTTTCATGCGTGATAATAATGTTCATCTAATATTTAGGGGAACTATCTTCCATAATCTGGTATTTATTCAATTAAACTTCTTACGTCACCAAAAGAATCGAGACTGCCCAGATCATCCCCCGATGCTTTAGCAATTTCTCCGTCAAAAATGTTAACATTATCCAATTTAATAATAATATCTTTGGCTCCCCTGAAGGAGTGTATTCTAGATTTATTATAATTCTGGGAAAAAAGAGGAGATGGTTTCAACTGAAACTTCTATTTTTTCACCCTTACGTCCGCCGATTATTTTGTGATTACTGTAAAGAACTTTACCCATATCCTGATCATTGCTACGGTGATCGTGTATTCGAATATTATATAAACATAATGGTGGTGACCATTTAAATAAGGCGTTAGCCACAAATTCGCATCATCCCTTGTTCGATTAATACCGTTGATCAAGTTGTGTACAATGTGAGGACCATAGTCCTTGTCTAACGATTCAGTGGTCCCTGTTGAATCCGCATATATCTCTTTTATTTTCGCCGGTTCTCCGGTATTTGAAAAGATTTCAATACCGTTGAGGCCTACGTAATGTTTGTCACCCCAAGTCGAGAGAATATCAATAACTAATGTGTCGCCAGATGGTAATTCAGGGATAATGAAATTTCTGTTGAATTTCTCTGCAAATAATGTAAGTTAAATATATTGTGACAATGAAGGCAACGATGTAAGAAAAAAAAATAAGAACGGAATAATAAGAGGTAATGTTTTATATTCTCAAGTATTTGTGTAAAACTGTAGAGATGTAAAATTTAAAGATAAATACCAACCTGTTTGCACATCAATGTTTGATGTATGTTGATTTATATTTTTGACGAAATCATCTTCAACTGAGATCTCAGAATTAGGATCTTCTTGATGTTGTTTGGATAATAGTTTTAACTTTTCTTCATTCTGTACACTAAATGTTAAATTATTTAAGTAGTGACTGTCGTCTAACAAGTGCAATCTTGGATCTGTATAATTGTGAACCGAAGGATGCTTAGAATCAACTTTTTCGTTGAAAGACCCTGTATTGTTGCTATGACTTTTAGGTGTTAAAGGATTGCCATGTTTTTCCATCTGTTTTCTTTCTAAATACGCATCCAATTTACGAAAATCCTCCTTCGTACGACGCTTTGCACTCACAACAGCTGAAGAGGCACGTGTTCTTCTCTGTTTAATTTGTACCTCTCCGCTTTTCGGTGTATTTGGCAGTGATTTGCTTGTAGATGCTTGCAATTTAATATTGCTGTCATTATCATACAGACTTTTTAAATGTGTACTAGCTTGCGTGTCTCTGTAAATATTGAAGGAGAATATTGTCCTCTTTTTTTATTATGTGAAGAAGAATACTATACTATATTTTTTTATAGAACATAGCGGTCTTACGGATTGTTGTCTTCCTTTCGAGAAGAGGTATTCTTAAAGTAGTGTTGGTCATCAATTAAAAATGCTTCTGCTTGTGATGTATATGATTTGGCATCGCAATTTATATTCAGTTTTCCTATGTCGCTAATAAAAAAAAATAATGTGCATCGTTTTGTATGCAAAGACAAGTGTGAAACAGTGATACATACTCAGTCATTTCCAATAACCACGATGGCATATTGATCGTGCCATCAGGCAAGGATGCAGTCTTTTCCTCCATCTCCTCGTGTGTTACATTATCCATATTTTATTTTCTTGTTTTGTCACTGGTAATGGTCGCGCCTCGCCCTATCATCCAAACGTATCTTGATAATGATGGCTTGTCAAGCTGAATCGCGCGTGTGATCTAACGTCGAACGAGAAAAACTATTCGAAAACATAATTCACCTTTCACGTTCCGAAATAATACAAGAACAAAGTAATTTTCATGATTGCGTCGAAATAGATCGCAACTAGTAGAAATACTTATCCATTGTCGACTCTTTCTATTCTCGCCTTGTTTGCCACTATCACTATGGTAACCTCGGGGGTGTCGACGTCTATACGTAATCTCGAACGTTCTAATGATTAATGCGACTGGTTATTATTCACGCACTGATAAGTCAGTTTAGCGGAACAAGATATACGTTTTTTTCGCTAATATATAATTTTTTATTTCTCATTAATAAGAATTACACTCATATCAGGAAGCATACCTATGTATGACAGCAATGCTACATATTATTCCACAATATCCTTGGTCCACTGCAAATCACAAGAACAAAAACTACACAGTGAATGAACTCATAGTGAATAATCACTTTGTACTTTGTTTCTGGCGATATCACAATACACACGTATATCGCAAGTTAACATTTTTGTTACATTAATAAGCATCCTTAATGGTACTTGACGATACTATACATGATACATACGCACAGGGAGCATGTATTATTTATTTTTAATAGTACAATTGCAACTTAAGTAAATATATACAAATGAGATAGTTCTGTAGTACACGGCTACAGGCGTAAAAACACATTATTATAAATAAGTGATGTATAAGATAAAAGTATGTAACAATACAATCATTACAATAAGTATCATGATTATTGAATCTCATTTGCATTGTCAATGTATACATATAAATTAATAATAAGAGATCCAATTTCATATCATAGTGCTCGCAATTATTATGTCAATAATAAACATAAGGGTCATTGTTCAACAATGTTACACTATATATTTTACAAAAAAAAATAATATCTCCTCATATACTTGAGCATATAATATAATATTCTTTTCTTTTCACGCGGTGATACGTCAAACTACGCACGTAACATTATTTTAATTAAATTAAAACAACTTATAAATTATTATAATTTATTCAAGTGATATATAAGGTCCGTTTCTTTTTCCACACGAAAATTGTACCATAAATAGAATATGTACGTGTATCTATGTCATGTCTGCATGTATATGCATTGGAAAACCGACTGCGTTAAATAGATACGAATGTGAATTAAATTTTGGCACAATTACATCTGCAAACAGAAAGACGATTGACACGATTTCGGTAAAACATATTCAGTCAATTTGGTTTCCATTCACCAGTAACGAGCTATTATGTAGCGCGTTTACACTTCGTAAATCCTAATGTAAAGACTTTTATAAAACTTATACAATGTAAAACGAAATAGCGTCTGTTCGAAAAATAATACCTGTATATTGAATGGTACAGGCTATAAATCTTCTTTCTTACAATAATTTGGCATTATTCACGAATGCTGACCTCAATACTAACGTACTAAAACACATGCGAAAGATACAATTTTTGTCGTAGACATATCCGAACTTGTAATGCAATTAGTAGTAATCGAGTCGTATGCGCGTGAATAATTACTGTACGACGCCTAAATTTCTTTCCTTCGTTCTAATATAAACATTCATAACACATGAATCTAGTCTCATGTGGCTGTGTCAGGTACTTAATTAACAAAGTCCACGGTTATTACATATTTACACATTGCACAAGTCTTTTGTTTACCGACTGATTTGGAATAATTAGGAAAACCCGACTATGTCTATATGCGGTTGTAAAAGCCACGATTCGGGATATAATAGTAGCCATCGTTAAAAATCAATTTGATCTTATCAAAAGCTCTTCTCCAAATAGACAGAGAAATCAAGTAGTATCCTTCTATCGGAATACAAAGGGTTTCACTCTTAGAAACTGCTATGTTTTAGAATCTTTAGTTTTTTTTTTTTTTTTTTGGAAGAAAGTTGTAGAAAATAGTATACAACACCCTATAACTCTAGATGTGATTTCAGTATGTTAGACATCGATGGCATACTGCCAGATGGTCCAAGAAGATTCGTCGAGTCTGTCTCAGGAAATACATGGCTTAGAATCGCATAGTAGTGGAATCCGGCAGCTGCGGCCACGAAGAGATGCCAGATCGCGTGCGCGAAGGGTATTCGACCGTCCGATTTGAAAAACACTATACCCATAACGTATATCAGTCCGCCCAGTTTCAATTCCGTGATATTGTAATAGTTATACTGCAAAGACAACATTCCGTGGAAATCACTTGTCGCAACTTCCTCGCCTCAAATTTGCCGATCTGAATAATCCCGGACAGGCCGTGTTGGTTTTTACTTACAACATTGAGGATCGCAACGCTAGGTCCGATACCCATAACTACGTAGAAAAAAGTCTCAAGCATCTTGTATTTCTCGTGGAAGATCTGCTGGTAGACGATGCCCATTATAGCCATGATCCAAACAACGTATCGCATCGCGAATAGAAGCTCGTCGTCCGAGAAGTGATCCACGTTCAACCATGGGAAGTAACTGGCGGCTATGAAGATGTAAATCATAGCGCGATCACAGCGATGTAACGCGTCCTTCAGTTGCCTGAAATTGTTACATAAATGTTATACGTACAATGTAAACGCACGTTATCGTTGCGTAAGTAATGACGATAAGTAACGGTCCCGAAGTGGATATACTGAGGGAAACGAAATAAATGCTACCTGTTTTGATTGCAGTAATGTACGCTATGGAAGAAAGTTGACACTGCGAAGACCAGAATCAAGGAAGTGCCGTATACACAAGCGGAAACGAGCTGTGCCCATGTTGTTGAACGGCGTACGAGCTCGATACCGCCTACTACCGAAGGAACAACCCATACTCCATGAGTCATCACATTTGCCATGTGCTCTATAGTTGTGGGAATATACGCCTCGTTCGTACATGCTCTTGGATTCATCCATTTTATCCTGCAAAGAATCGCTGTTTGATTTCTCGCTTGCAATTTCTCCCTCGACTGCACGCTCTATGTGAAGCCTTATGAAGTCGAATGCTCGATCGTCGGTGACGGTGAAGCTACTCTTTAATGTTGTAAATGTGCTCTTTGTCACGCGGACAAGGGAAGTGAGATGTAACATTTATAAAATTGAACAATGACACGACGAAGAGAGAGTTCCTTTTCCTGAAGATCTATTTGTGACGTTCTTTTTTTTTACCGTTACTAATACGACAGAAGATTATTACATAAGGAATCACACAAAATGCTTCTTATATAAGGCGAGACCAGATTACTATGACTGAAATCTAATTAAAGGCATGCAAAACAGATAATGAAATTGGGGTATTCCGACGTCACATTACGCCACTTCGATTATATCAATGCTAACATAGTAGATCAAAGACCCGCATAACTGAATGATATATTTCCAGCATGAAGCTTAAATCGGCATAACGCTAAAATACATGCGTATGTCTAAGAGAAGCGTATATTACAATTTGCACGAGTTAATATATCGACGAATGGTACCTGTTTGTTGATGTATTTTGTAGAGGAGACTTATTCCGTACAATCCAAGCTGGCGGTGTGAAATACTTTGTCGTCTATACCACTAAGATGATCCGCGGCGGTTTGTTGACTGAAGAGACTGATCTTTCATCCCTCTAAAAGCGGTGCTCGTGCATTCTGTTAAAGGTCTCACACTATCCGATGCATGCGCACGATTTCGAATATATCTCAAGCTGAGTTAATAGCATAATAACGGCAAAGTTAATGGGTAAGCTCGAACGCAATGTGACTGATAATGAGAGACTTCTATATTAACAGAATACAGTTTATCTCGATGCGCTATAAGGTCCCCTCTAACTCGTTATGTATCTAATGATAAAGATTTTTAACTACACAACTGTACAGCATGACGAACGAATGACAAATATTATGGTAAACATTTACCAACATTTATTGCTACTGTCCACTAAAAATACGAATTTAGCTTATGACATGTTGCAATCACAGCTAAGAATATATTCAGATATCTTATATGTAAGAAGCAGAACTGTCATATAATTAGCCGTTAGGGTACCATATTATTTCATGCAAATAGATATTACCGGTACATATGAAACGCATGCGAAACGCCCAAGGCAAGTTCCAAAGATGCAGAAATGTAAATTATAATGACAATAAAGGTCGAATGATTGAGGAGCAATTATCCGAAGTATGACACGCTAATAAGCAATAAATAAGTCATGTTTTTCTTCCGTTTGGAAGTGACGCAAGTTCGCGTTTTGCAAAGCACCGAAGATTGGCAAATCCCGAGGATTGATTTACCCGCGCATATGCCACAATGACGTACACGCGAACCTCGCATATACCCGTGTCTCGTCTCGAAGCTCGTGACATTTTCAAAATTAGACTTACACCACTTCCAAACATTTTCGGCTTTAATATAACTGCACTACGCTATTAGGTACACTACACATCGGTCCTTCTTACTCTTTGATCCGTTGCAGTTGAAGAAAATTTTTGATGGGTGCCGTGACGAATTGATGAAGGCAGGTACTGGCCATGGTGTCGGGTTGAGAGATTTGAGCGGATAGGCGGGTGTACTCGTCGATACCCGATGAGTATTCAAATTTCTCGGATGCCGGAGCTAACGATGTAACAGCTGGCTGGCAAACATCTTCCATCGCATACCGATCGATTTGCAACGATTGACGTTGGGCATCGCAAAGTAGGTGAGTGACGACAGGTAAGGGTGCCTCACGGGAGCTTGACGATTTGTTCTCTCTGAATGAACGCGCGCGAGAGAGAGAGAGAGAGAGAACTCGCGGACTCGTTTCGTCGTGTTCAGCCGCAACTTCCAAAGGAAGCCACTAAACACGTCGGAAACACAGTCCGCCTCAGCTCACCTACTTTCCCCCACACTGCACCGGGTATCGACGGACACTGAACACCTCGCCACTGTCAAAGTCCATCTGATCCATCGGCCCTCGGCAGCCTTTTATATTATGATTGCCCGTGCACGCGAGACACAATTGGACGAGAAATAACATTGATTCGCTGACAAGTCTAAAGAGGGACGCAACGAAACTGATTGGTTACGCCATATTGTGCGCGCTCCCTCCGCCCATCCCTCCGTCACATTGAACGAATACTTTACCCGCTCAATGTGCGCTTTGTTAATATTAATTTATAGACGCACACCATTTTTATGTTCTTCCGAGAGTCATTCGATCTCGCCTTGAATATCTTACGTACTGATCGCCTTGAATATCTTACGTACTGATCGAAATATTGAAAATGGACCGTCTCTTGCCTCTTCTAACGAGAGATTAACATTTCCCAGTTACTCGCACGGCCTTGTAACTGTCATTTTCGATGCAAGAATTTAATTACGCGTGCGCTAAACTTTGATCTTATATAGGGTGTCGCTCAGAAATCAGTCAGTTCGACATCGAAAACTTGAGAAATCCATTGAAAGAGAGAGAGAGAGAGAGAGAGAGAGAAAGAGAGAGAAGGTGCGAAAAGAGTTGGATAATAAAAGCACTTATTTCTTTATTCGTCAGTATATCTTCTGAGTGATAAAATGTAAACTAGTTTTCATTGTTGTATAATCATTGAATGAATAATAGTGTCATTTATATAAAACTAATAGAAACGCGAGATAAATGTGTTCATGATGAAGACAATTGTATGTACACATGTGACAAGCACGATACTAAGAGACTTGAGATGAATACCATAATCAACAAATTAAAGACTCAAGATCGCAAGCGTGCTTTCGAAATAGTACGCTTGAAAATGCAACACAATAAACAGGAGATCGTTTTCAAGAGAAAAATGGAGGAAGCGCTTCCTCCATTTTCCTCTTGTAAATTGCATCTTTTACTTATGACAGTGTTTCAAACGCTTAGAGGGGCGTAGGCACGTCACTTAGTCGTTTGTGCTCGAGCGAGAGTTAAAGCCATTGTTTTTACTCTCTGCCGTTACCTATTATCTAAACTTTCTAATAAATAAATGCATACAACATAAATTCATCGACAAGGATATATCAAAACGCAAGCGTTTGTTACAACGAAACAGTTTTTCGACATTTCGACAGCTTTTCCTCATTCATTTCTTATCTAATTAGAAATCACTTCGTTCTCCATGATATCCGAGAACAGCTCACGCAACTGAAACGATTGAATTTAACATTTAAAATGTATACGCGCGTGTACATGTACACAATAGTTAATATAATAATAATAAATAATAATAACACTAACAAATACGCGCGTCAACTTACGTCTTCTTGGTCTCTATTTTGACACTGTTCAGGATTACAGTTACAATTGTTGCAAATAATATTATTCTTGCGACACGAACATATCCGTGTAGCGCATTTTGTTTTACAAGAACATTTTATATCATTAGTTTCTAATTTATAAGTCAACCGTTGCACCGAGAGCTTTGACTTATTCTATAAATAAGAGAATCACACTTAATTATTCCTCGAATCTTGATCGATGACAAAAGTTATCGCTACAATTCATATCTACAATAGAGAGCGATTGTAGTTGATCACAATTGTTATTTTTACCTGTAACTTCTGTATGCGATTGTAAAGCGGTGTATTTTTCCAATCGGGATCATTCTTAACGTCGTCTTCTTCCATGGTTAAACTATTATCATGCTCTGCGTAAGTATTCTCAACGAAAAGATCCAACGGATTTTTCTTTCTTTTGACCTCAGATTTCGTTTTGTTTTCGTTGTTCAAGTTACTTTCTTTTAAGATCTACAGTGCAAAGTAAAAATAATGTAATATATGAAAATCGGCTCTCGGCTCTCGGTTGAAAATCGGTCTAACCAAAGAATGAATATTGAAAATGCAGTACAGTAAAAAATGGTCTATGAATTAAGCACAGCTATAATATAATTAAATATTAAATATTAATATTATTCATATGTCAGCGGAAGGACGACGAAGTTTATATTAACCCCTTGACATACAATGACGAGTCTGACTCGTCAAGCGCTTTTTCGATCTGATTAATAAAAATCCAAATTTCAAAATAAAATGTACTCTTTCTCAGCTTTCACGTAACTGTTCAGTTGAGCGAAATTAAATAGTATTTTTTGGTCGCATTAAGTTCCATTTAATTTGTATGTCAAGGGGTTAATGGCAAATCAATTTCGAGTTCGCACATTTTTCAAATTCTTAGAACCTGGTCGAGGACGAGTATTTTTCGCAACATTTCATGGAGTTTGAAAAATTCCAAAAATAACACATAATGGAGAATTATTATTCAGGATTAAAAGGATTCGCTCTGAAAGTTATTCTCCATCTCTAAAATTTATTCTCCACATCCGCGAATCCGAAGCTTATTCGACGCGTGCATATTAATATAAGCTTTATTATCATCCCGCTGATATAATAACATGAATATTAATATTTAATTTAAACACTACAATAATCGTGCTTCAGCTTTTATAGGCCATTTTTTCTACAAAAATAATAATAATCTCTTACCAATTTTCGTAAAATATACCAGAGAAAGAATTGTGAAAAAAATATATATTTTTTTTAATATTTTACTTAACATAGAAATTTGTATTTCATTACCCGTTGATTCGATTGTGCTGATGTCTCTATGCTGTTCGAAGACACGTTAGATGTATTTTCCAGGGAATATGTCTTGTTGTCCTTTTCCCTTTTTATATATTCTTCTAATTGTGCTTGTAGATTTAAGTATTTGTCCTTAAGGTATTCATTAGTCGTTTTAATTATCAGTCCACATCATACACAAGTGCACATATAGTATAATGTAACATATATAATTTTGTATCTATATATAGTGATGTACATATACTAACTTTGAGTTCGTTAAATTTGTAACATTGTTGCTTCCTCTCTTGTCCGACCAGATGAAATGCCGTTTGACATATGACCTTGGCGTCCGCAACGTTGTGTATTCTGTTCCATCTTGTACTTGCTCTGGTTTCTGAAAAAGCAATCTGTGAGTGATAAACCACACTTATATTTAGAGTAGACTGAAATAATATTCAAATATCTAACCTTGGTCCGACTCGACAATTTCTTTCTGAAGATCGGCGATTTGCGTATTACGCAAATCTATTAACACTGTAAGAGTTGCACACTCCTCTTCATCGGGATTGTTGCTTTTTTTCAATTGCTCCAACTGATAAGACAAGGCGGCTCTGTCTTGCATCAGTTTTTCAAGAGACAAGTTCGCGTCTATCGTCGCCATTAACACTTCCAATTCTTGAGCCACCCACGTTTTCATCTCATCCTTACTGTTAGCCTTTTTCTCTTGCCGTTCCATCGCCTTCTTCTGCATCTCCAATGCACCCTACGCATAAGTTGTTCGTAGATTGACGCTCAGATTACGAGGTAAGTAATATATTATTATTTTCATTCAAATAATTAAGTAAAATATCCGGAAAAACAAGGCAATTCCATGTTGCGGATCGAGCGAGTCTCGCCGCCGTAAACGACGCGTGTCGCGAGACGGCGCGAGGCCCGCGGGTGGTTCGCTCGCGGGCAGCTATAAGAGAGCGCTCCGCAAGAGAGAGCGCAAACCGCTTTCGTCTTCCACCGCACTCAGGTCGATGGAGTGGTGACCGCTTTCGTCTTCCATCGTACTCGGGTCGACGGAGCGGTGATCGCACGCTTCGCGTGCATCTTTGATTCTATGCGTTGGATATTTGTAAGGTCATCTTGGTAGTGGATTGCCATTAAGTACCTGAATATTATCTTGGTACTGGAACATCGTTCCGCATTCGTGGCCGTGTGCGCAACAGGATCTTACGGTCGGAGGACCGAGAGATAATTCCGCGGAGCAACTCCGCCGGACAATTAATCGGGTCCCGATTAATTCGGTGTCGAGCGTAGCTCGACGAGCGCGATCGTCCCGCGCGTCTCCACCGTTTCGGCAGAACTGAATCGGCGCTCGCTCCTACGCCCCTCTGAGCGTTTGAAACACTGCATAAGTAAAAGATGCAATTTACCTTTAGCCTCTTGTTAACGGCGAACGCTTCCTCCATTTTCCTCTTGAAGACGATCTCCTGTTTATTGTGCTGCATTTTCAAGCGTACCATTTCGAAAGCACGCTTGCGATCTTGAGTCTTTAATTTGATGATCTCCTTCTCCCGGGACTGTTTCCACTTTGTAAAATTGTTCGCGTCGTTGCGCATCTGTCTAACGAGTTTGACTCTGGCTTCTTTCAACGATTGTATCTCGTCGGAAAGAGTTTTGATCCGTTGATCCTGCTTCTCCTTCCCCTTGATTATTTTGTTCTGCTCCTGACATTTGCGCGTCAGCTCCGTTATCTTCTTTTCCAATTCCTGTACTTTCTTGCGACGTGTCTCGGCCAATCTGTACAAAGAACAGTGCGGAAATTAATGTTACACTTGTAGACGATCAAACAAGGAATAAAGGATCATCTTGAAGCTTATGAATCAGGGACTCGGCATAACGTGTCCCAAGGAGCACGAGGAACTCGATGAGAAGTGCAAACATACGTTACAGCATAATAAAGCTTCGAGATATGACGGAGAAATTGAATTTGAATTTGGCAGAAATCGTTATCGTGCACGAACAAGTTGAAATAGCCGAACAGGCTCGCAAAAAACTTATTGCTTACTTGGATGTAATGTTGCGTGCATGAACTGCTTGTAAGTGTTCCTCTCTTTCCGCATGCAGCCTCTCGATTTCCTTTTCCATTTCCGCAACGTCCCGGTGACTTTCCGCAGTTTGTTGGGTGATACTTTTCATCAGCTCCGACACAAGACTCTCTTTGAGCGCCAGCTCTTTATTGATATTTTGAACCTCGTTATTTCGTTCTGCTTGTCGTAACGTATGCTCCTCTTCCTTTTTATCGAAGTAATCCAAGCTATCCCCGACATTGTTCAAATCGCCCGTATGTACGCATTCCGCGTCTTCTTTTATGAACGTCACAGAATTCTTAGAATCCACGGATATCTCGTAATTTAGCAATTCCTCGGACGCCTTTCTCTCGTCAGTTTGAATTTCTGCACACATAAAACAAGCGTCAAATTAAAGTATTGTCGAGAGAAATTAAGTGAGAAAAAAAAAAAAAAAAAAAAAATTTTANTCTTTCAATTTGTTGCGTCTCTCAACGTCGATCTCGTGACAGATATCAAACTCTTGAAGAATTTGCTTAAATTCATCTAGCACTAACGCCATGGCGGATCTGATCTTTTCACGAGCCTGTTCGGCCATTTCAGCTCGTTCGTGCATGATAACGATCTCAGCCAAATTCAAATTTAACTTCTCCGTCATATCTCGAAGCTTATGTTGTAACGTACTGCACTTCTCATCCAGTTCCTCGTGCTCCTTGGGACACGTTATACCGATTTCCTGATTCATAAGCTCCAACCGCAGTTCCTGAGTCAATTTGTTCAGCCGATTTATCTCCGCAACCTTCGGATCTTGATTCACCACAGGCTTATTCTTTATCTTGCGCGCGCGATCCGCATATCTCAAAGTACTGAGAGTTTCATCCAAATTGTAATCTAATCGAATGATTTCTTCTAATTATAGCGATACAAATTAAGGTGCAGACTATATTATCCGTATATGAATACTAACCGGCAGGACTAACACAGGCAATCATGAGAGTCATGGAATTACCGCCCAAGGAATCTTGTAACAGTCTCGTAAGTTTGCTGTCCCTGTATCCGATGTAAGAGCCAGAAGCACCATCACCGAGCTGAGAAATGACATTGCCTAAAGCAAGCAGTCCTTTGTTTATATTTATACCTTCCTTAAACCTCTCCCCTGTGGCTTGAGTTTTTTTACTACGTTCGGATCCCGCTAAATCAACGAGATGAAACTTTGCAACAGTCTCTGTATTCCTGTAAGAAAAGTAATAATTTCTTTATATTCGAGGATATAATGTTACAATATTATGGCTTATGGTCTTGAGACTTTCGCGACGTTCTGCCAATGTTTCGCAAATATTGTAGTTTGCATTATCGGGGCTTGGAGCTCTGATACTGATACAGTATGATTACAGCTGATTTAAGACGCGGCATACCTTCGGAAGCAACGCAAATGGATTGTACCAATGGCCGCGAAAGCCTCAAGACTAGTATAAATTATATTTGCTCTTAATCGACGATATTAAATGATAAAGAAACGACGAGTCACTCACGGGTCATTATTTTTCTGCTGGCGTATACAAATTGTAAATATCGCATGGCTACGACTACTGTGGGCGTTCATTGCAGTTGCTCCAGTTACACGACCTGTGGAGCCCTGGCTCAGACATTCCAGTATCTCTTCGGCATTTGTCACTTCTTTTTCTGTTATACGATCGATTTTTATGCTCCTCCCATCTTCCCTGATGTCCACGATGGATTGACTTCTCTGTTTATCAGACAAGAGATCGTACAATTGCTCTTGGTATAATTCCATGAATGAAACTTTAACTTTAAAGCTCCAATCTTCTTTTGATTTAATCGTCTTGAACATGTCTTCTACAACTCTTGGTATAATACCCTTTTCTTCGACTCCTGTGTAATTTGTACCCATTGAATGAGTCTTACCACTACCAGTCTGACCATAAGCCAATATTGTAATATTATATCCTAGAATATAAGGAAATTATTACTTATATTCCTCCAATTTAACAAGAAAGCTTCGTCCATTTTGACCCTTTCGCTACGACGGGCGACTATAGTCGCTTGCCACAAATCTCTGTTTATCTCCGTAAACTATGTTTACACTGAACTTGCAGTTTCGATGTTACTTCATTAGGAAAATATAGCTCTGCCCATGCTTTATGTTTTGAATCTACATTTACGCGCACAATGTCACTGAATACAGCTTTACCTCACTTTGTCTCCATTCGCAACGTGTACACTTTTGACGCGGGATGCCGTTCAGCGGGAGAATTCCAGCGGCGAGGACCGCCGTAGCGAAATTATCAGACAAGAGATCACACAATTGCTCTTGATATAATTCCATGAATGAAACTTTAACTTTAAAGCTCCAATTTTCTTCTGATTTAATCATCTCGAATATGCCTTGTACAACTCTTGGTATAATATCCTTTTCTTCGACTTAGAATGTCTGAGTAAATGTAGACTCAGAACATGAACAAAGCATGGGCAGAGCTATATTTTGGCGTCTTGCGGAGAGCGACTATAGTCGCCCGTCGTAGCGAAAGAATTAAGATTATATATATTGATACACTCATAACAGAAAAATTATTAATAAGCGAGGAGCAACAAGGTTTTCATAAGAATAGATCGACTTTAAATATCATATTTATCGTAAGACAAATAGTAGAAAAGCCATAATAAACCAGTATTCTTATGCTACATAGATCTCACTAAAGCATTCGACCGCGTCAGACTTAGTGACATCATCGACGTCGTGAGAGAAGCGGACATCCCGGAAGAAATTGTCGGAGTAGTTGAAACACTTAACAAAAATATTAAAACACAAGTACTCGTCAACAACACTCTAACGGGAGAAATACCAACATCAACTGGACATAAGACAGGGAGACTCCCTAAGCCCGCTCCTTTTTAACATGATAATGGATGAAATCATAAAAGAGGTAAAGGACACAGGTAGAGGATACGGAATTGATAAAGAGGAAATAAAGATAATATGTTACACGGATGATGCAGTAACAATCTCCGAAAATGAGGATGATTTGCAAAAACTATTATACTGGTTTCACCTGACGGCAAAACGCTACAATATGGAGATCTCTGTACCAAAAACGAAGGCACTTGTAGTAGCAAAAGAATCCGTTCGATGCAAACTGGCATTAAATGATGAGGTGATAGAACAGGTAATGGCTTCAAATATTTAGGAGTACAGATAACAGTGTATCAGGACAGAGTTAAAGAAGTCAAAGGACAAACAAACAAGGCATCAAGAATGTCAGGATGCCTAAAAAATCTGGCATGGAAAAACAACTAAATGCGCCGTAAAACCAAAACTAAAATATATGACATGTGTACAACCTATAATGACATATACTACCGAAGTCAGAGTCGACACTTGTAAAACCAAAATGATGCTTAGGACCACTAAAATACGAATGCTGAGAACAATCACAGAATATACCTTAAGAGATAGAATGCGAAATACATAGATCAGAGAGAATGTGATACACACGACATCTCAGGTGGATCAAAGGAAAAGAAAACAAACACGTATCCAGAATAACAGAAAAGAGAACAGCAAGAAGGACAAAAGATGGAAAACAGCAATACGAATGACCTCAAGACAAAACATCCAAATGATGGAGAGACAGCTAGATGTCAACATTCCAAGGGGTCACTTAATCTAAATTTTTTCTAATCTTGGAAAAACAGGCTTCAAGTCTACATCACAAGGAAGAAGAGAAGAAGATATTGATATGAAATTTTTACCTTGAAAGATATTGTCCAGTAATTGTCTAATAGCTACATCATAAAATTCTTCTTGTCCAACATCAGGAGAAAAGACATAATTATATGTAAATGATTTGTTGCTGTTGAGTATGTGAACTTGTGGTTCTCCAGGAATCACATCCAAACACATCTGACATCCTTTCTCGATCTCGCTTACCACTAATGGACGGATACGTAAAGCAACGCGAACAGTATCATCACACATCTGGAAGGATATCGTGTCAAGCCAGATATGTATAAGAAAAAAACAAAGATATAACACAACAAATCTTTATCATTGAATATTGCTTCTAGAAAAGAGACGTTCTGTACGTTCTAGTTCTAGAAAATTTGTTGATATATACTTAATATATTATAAGAAGCTATGGTTTTTAATCGAGCTCAAAAAGATATACCAGAAGCCCATTTCTCGTTAGAAAACTATTACTTACTTTTAATATTTGTGTCAATAATTTAGCTGATTTATCACAATAAACGTTTGTGATATGAAGGATCCACCAAACCAATTAAATACAGCAAAAGTATCACCAAAATGCTACAAAGTTGATGAACTGCTCGGACGCCTTCGGATCCTGAGAAGAAATGGAAACGTTACATTTCAAATTTCTTAGAGGGAGAGGGATAAGCTACTTAGAGGTGAAGAGTTACAGAGCGACAACTATAAAAAGGGAGGGAAAGAAAGTCACTAGAATCACTAAGTTTACTTAACGCTTGCTGCACATGATGTTTTTCTTTGTAATTGGTCCATTTCTCTGCGTTTCATGCGTGTTGTATGCGGAATGTGAATGGATCTTTAATACACTGCACTTTGGTGTAGAAAGTTCAAGGAAAGATGCAAGCGAAACGAAAAGACGATAATGGCTAGAATTTATTTCACGATTCAAAACGTTTTAGAGCGCTTAAAGAAAGAACGCAATTGGTCTATACGGCGCTTCAAAACGTTTACAACGTGAAATGGACCACGATAGCCTATGTAGTTATTGGAGATATGTTATTGGAGATATATGGTAGGAGAGTCTCTAGGCTAAATCAGCAAGGAGGACCATTATGGTTCATAACTCACAAATCAGCTGTCTTTGACGTTAATGATGGACGCATATTTGTTCGCCGACAAAAGTAAACGAAAATGAGAGGGAAAAGTCAAAGTTTCTTTTTGCGTAAGAGTGTTTGAGAAGTACATACGTACGTGTACAAGATGGATATAATAAAGGAACATCTGCTAGTACCTGCCAAATACATGATACTGACAGATGGAAGAATTTGCCTAACAGTTCACAGAAATTGGCTCGCTCGTTTGTTGGTAGTCGGCCCGTTTTCTTTTATTAGTCATGATCGAATGTCCGGTGATCAGATTGCGGCACAACCCACTCTCGAAGAATTAGGCTGCGATTGGATGAGGATTTATGCAAAAGTATACTTCTTTTTTGTCATCTTTTTTTGTCATTTCGTGCAAAATATAACAGTTGTGTATTTAGAACTATTAATTATTATCATTAGGTATATATAAAACAATACAAAAATGCAATTCCTCTGCCAAGAGAAAGGCCTGTTACTAGCATAAAGAATCAGGCAGAATTGATGTTCTCACAATTGTTGCATTATGTAGCTGAAACTAATTATCGAAACTTGTGGAAAGAATCATACAAGAAATATTACAGTATGTATAGCTTTTTATTTTTTATTTTTATTTTTAGCTTTTTTCTTATAAAATATAGATGTTCTTCACTTAAATTGACAATATCTATGTATACATAGATCCCTGGAATTTTGTTGATCAAAAGGAACAATCTAATATTACTGCCAATGTGAGTGATGTTGCCATCATGCATGAAGTACTGGCCAGAATGTACAACTGTACTCTAATACAAGTACAACATGGTACAGTCTTATCAGTATCAAATGGTACATTATCCGAGACACATTGTAATCTAGTACCAGTTCATTTTGTCATGGAAACAACATCTGCTTTTATAATCTTTTATGAACAGACTGCAAATTACTCCCTTCGTGAGTAAGTACTCATAATATGATTACATTTATTTATTTCTTCATTATAAAGATAATTTTATAAATTAAGGCATGTGTATTGCTATTTTCTTATTTATAAATATTAATTTCTAGGTGTGTGATGTACAGTCCTGCCGCCCTTAATACAAGCCATGGAAAACCATTGTTTGTGGTCTATCAGTTATTAAGGCTATCTAGAGACCTGCATGATCGCGGTCTTGCATTAGGAGAGATTACACTTAGTGATATATTAGTTACAGAAAATTTTACTATTCAGGTATATCATAGAGCTTACCTACTTATACAGCAGTGATCTTCATATTTTGCTGTGTAAGATAAATGTCGAACAAAAAGAATAGGAGGTTTGAAATGATATTTCTTTCTTAGGTACTACCGAAATTAAGTGACAACATTTATTTAAAACCTGAAAGTGAATATATGAACTCATCTATTTCTCAAGAAAATAAAGAGAAACATTTCTATAACAATACTCACTGCAAGAAAGACAGCACGTTTCAATCAAGTAACAGTGACTTTGGATTAAACGAGAGTATCGAGAAATTATGTGAGATGTGGGTGTATAACTGCATTAGCAACTTCGATTATCTCATTGCACTGAATAACTTGGCCGGTAGACGATACGGCAATCCTAGTTGTCATCATGTGATGCCTTGGGTGACGGATTTCACGTCGAGGAATGGTGGCAACTGGCGGGATCTAACAAAATCAAAGTTTCGATTGAACAAAGGTGACAGGCAACTAGATCTCACGTTCGACTCGCAATCAACCGAGGTATGTCGGCTGAATCGATAGACCTTTTGTGGTGTTATTTCGAATAATTAGAGTCGATCGACAGGTTGGACATCATGTATCAGATGTTCTGTCAGAGATTACTTATTATGTATATCTTTCGCGTCGATATAATAAATCTGTGCTGTGTAAGCACGTGCGACCGTTATGGGTACCCGGAGAATATCCAGCTTCGATTCAGAGATTATACGATTGGAGCCCCGATGAGTGCATACCGCAGTTTTTCACCGATCCTAACGTTTTCAAGGTAGAATATTACATAATTGCGTGATGATATCTTCCTCAATTCAATACTTCTGAAGTGTTTCGCTCGTAGTCTATCCACGAGGACTTGCCGGACTTGGAAATTCCAGCATGGGCGACTTCTCCGGAGGATTTCATTGAAAAACACAGAGAAGCATTGGAGAGCTTTTATGTTTCGGAAAGACTGCATCATTGGATAGACTTGACCTTTGGCTACAAGTATGAATTCTCTCGGGCTTATTTAGATCGGTATTACTTAGATATACTTCTTTTTACACCAACAGACTGTCGGGCTCCGCTGCTGTCAAGTCGAAAAACGTCTGTCTGCAGTTGGTTGACAATCATACCGACTTGACGAATTCCGGAGTTGTACAGCTTTTCACGCAACCGCATCCGCAGAGGATTATCCCATCTCCTTATTGGGGCAAAGTACCGCCACGACTACGATCGACAGTCTCAGCTAACAACAAAAGTAATAAGCTCCTTCCGTTGTGAAAAGTTTTAAGTGCGAATATGCAGATCCTTCAAGCTGCTGTACGATTGCAGAGAATGACCAACTTGCAAGTAGAATCAGTGACGATGAGGGCCACAGTTCCGGCATCGAGGAAGAAGAGCTGCCTGCAACGGCGGTGAATGCATCGAGATCGTCGCCGCTCGTACTAAGCCGCTTATTGAGCCGTTCTCGAGGTTCTTTACTGTCGGAGGACAACATCAAATCGGATAAGTCCGTCAATCAGCCCATTATCCTCCCGAAGGATTTTAATCCCGTCGCGGCGATCGTGCAAGTAGAATCTATGCACACCTTCATGAATAAGGTCAATCATCAGGTGTACAAACCCGCGATAGAGTCGCACGATTTTCCCACCAACTACAAGCAGATCGTGGCCAGCGGTCGTATCAAGGAGCAGCAAATACTCGGTTGCTTGATAGTGGAGATATTTCTAGCCGGTAAATTTCGCGCGACATGGAACGTCGAGAAGGCGTCCTTCGCGCAGAGATTCGCGACGTGTCTGAACACTCTGAGAACGTCGGCGGACAATTTGCCGAAATGTATAAGGAACATCGTATCGTTGTTCTTACAGACCGATATCATGCCAAAGAGTTACAATATAGGCAATATGGAGATGAACGACATCTCAATGGTAATTTCCAAGTATAAACCGTCATTAAGCTAACATCGATTGTAACAGCGTCGAAATTTCTCCCCAGGCGAACGAGATTCCCTTTCGTTATCCGACGATAACGTACATGGGCCTTCCGCCGCCGTCTGCGCATCAATTTCTACAACCGATTTTGTCCGGCAGCCTGTTCCCATTCTCCAAGTATTGCCAGTACTTGTACAACATCGTGGAAATGTTGCAAGAGTACAACGGCTTGGTACGAGAATTGAACTTTATCCTGAAGGCCGAGGACGATATGGACTTTGTGATCAAAACGAAGATAAAGTATCTGTGCAAAATCAGCGAGTGCAAAGTCAAAGCGATCGCCAGAGAGTTGGAACGTCTGCTACCCTATGCCGGCGGTGCGAGAGAAGCTACACTGCAATTAATAGTCCCTCATATAGTACAGATTATGGAAGAACCTTACAGCGCGGTATTGGCCGCCTGGCATCTTTTCGATCCTATCGCGAAGTGAGTGTCGCAGATCTTCTCCGTAAAAATGACATCCGTTTTTACATTTCTCTCTCGTTTCGCATTTCCTCCCACAGAACACTGGGTCCGAAGGACACAGCCGAAACGTTCCTCTCGCCTATCACGAAGTTATATGAAAACGGCTCGATCATGGACACGACGTTGTATGCCGATGTGCTGCCCGCAGGAACGTTTGCGAAGTTCAGAACTACTCGATTATATCACAGGACGTTCCTATTGAAACTGATAGTCAGACTAGGACTGCGTAGATTCTTAGACAACTTTATCAATCCACTGGTGGAAGCGGTAGGAGGATACAAGGATTACGTGCAGGGCTCGTTCGGCACGTGCACGCATAGGACGGGCAATCTCAAGTAAGGAGAGAAGTCGTATTTTGATCATGCCGTGTGACGTGACTCCCCCCTTTCATTCGGCGTGTCGATGCTTTCATGTTACTCGCGAAGGAGCTGTGACTTGAGCGGACCCTGCGGCGACGGGGAGGGTATTCTATCTCCGTTGGATGAAGATTCGTTTGCAGATTCCGAGCATACCGTCATCTCACCCACCGGACCAACGACCAATGATTACGTATCTAACATAGCGGCGGATAACGACGTCGAAGGTGATTGACAGCCGAGTTTGACGATCGAGTTAATTGCTGATGACAATTTGACGACGTTGACGTATCTCTCCGGTGGAAGAACGGCTGAACTTTAACATTGGGTCTGTTGCAGAGGTATTCGCCATGGAGACGGACGACAATCTGTGGAATTCCTTAAGTAATACTGCGTATAACATTGACTTACACATAGATCTCAACTTAAATCTCAACGACGACTCGAACGACGATGCGAACAAAAATTCGCCGTGCGGCTCCGTCAAGTCGCCAACGATTCCAATACCTAAACAAGCAAATACTTGCGGTGCCAAGTTAGTAACAGAGTTTAATAGTATCGGTTGCAATGTCGGTAGCAAAACCTCTAGTGAAGATTTCACTTACAACAGTGCGTATACCACAAATATCCATTCCGGTAGTAATCTGTCTGAAAGCACGAGCGGCACAGACACCAAGGAAGACAATTCCGCCACGCTCCGCCCCGACCTCGATAACAAGTGCAACGTCACCGAGCCCGACGAAGGTGTACATCAGTTGGATCACGTTTATCGAAGAACCATCCCGAGTGAATGCACCGTTTCTGAGATGAGCGCAGAATCGGTTATTTGGCTGTCGCACAGACTCGGCCCGGTGCTCACAGCGCGACACTTGTCGCGGAACCTCCTGCGAATGCTGACTCTGTGTTACGCTGGGAAGGAGAACCTGACGTCGATCGATGACAATAATTTCATGTATCTGGAAGGTATCGCGTGGAAGAAGCCGATCTTAGCCGGTGACCAAAACGCTGTTAAGGTTTTAGAATGCCTCACTGCTATTGCAGGTGCGTGTCGCCAACGAAAGACGGATTTTTCTCTCGTGTAACAATATCCGATGCAACAACAATTATTCCACTTCACCAGGGTTGTACGGGGAACAAATTATATTGCTGCAATATTTTGCGCACATGGTCGAATTGTTAGCGCTGTGTAAGAGGAAGCTGACGCAAAATCTGGAAGGAGGCCTGGTCTCTTGCTTGGCTCTGCTAAATCACATTACGTCGTACCTCAGCGACGCCACTGTGATGGACGTACTGCATGTAATGTATTTATAATTAATTATTGCATGCTTGTGGCATGGCGAAGAGAAATTTGGCGCAGCTCACACTCGTTCATATCTGGATATAGGAGCCAATAGTCAAGTCCATTCTGCATCCTACGGTACGTATACTGTCAACCGCGAGATTTACATTCCCGAATGGAACGCTCGCGCGCATCGCCTTGGCTGAAAAATGTCTGGAAGCGATGTTCACTCTCAGCTTACGGCTTGGCAGTGTGATCACGAAAAACCACCTGGCGGTGCCGATCCAACGCTTCTTTTTAGCTTTCGACAAAGCCTTCAGCGAGAATCTATGCGGCGAGAGACTTCCGGATAATTCTGGGCAGAAAGCAGCCGCATCCAACGACTATCTCGCACGGTAACGATAGACCGGGATTTGCGAGTATATATCGCGTATTAATAAGAATCCGTCGGTGTGAAGGTGTTTGTTTACCTTTCATATTGTTCGCGCAGGGTGAAAGCCGCCAATGAGGGCGGATTTGATAATAATGGAACTTACGTGTGGAACAAACTCGACACAGACGTGGCGGACTCGTATTCCCCTCCGATCTTGGAAAACAGCGATGTACCTGATTTACAAAGAAACAGGGTGAGTCGCGATGGAGTTTTTCTTTTATGTTATATTTCACGATTGCACGATGGTGTGAGCGTATTGAACATTTTGCGTCTTCACTTGCAGGCGTTCGAAGAGTTACGAGCCGTATTCACCAGCGAATTTGCTCACAAGGCGTACATGCTCTTTTATAGGTGCGTCGACAGCGAGATGATGGAACAGATACTGAAGAACCACGAGCATGTGCAGGAGCTCTGTCACGATTATGAACAAGAGATTAAAGCGACCTCTCAAAATATCGGTGTGTGTCGATTTTTATTTATAGTTCTGAAGGCTCGGAGAAAATCCCGAGTTTTTTTCCCTCATTTTTCCGCGGATTTCTTTCGGGTTTTCATTCTTCTTTACAGAAAAAAATTAATGTGGCAGGTTTTAACCGAACGAGAATTTTTTTGGAACAAATTCTTTCATCTTATTGGACACAAACCGAAGAAATTCGCGGAGAAATGGAAAAAAAAACTTTTCCTGAGCTTTAAAAAAAAAAAACTATTTTTATTCCACAATATATCAGATATCAGACGAAATGGTATGTTGATTTCTTGCTTTGCTGTTGAAGATAACGCGGAGAAGTGCAATACGTTGCTGCCTACGGATTGCGATGTGATGGAGAACGTGGAGCTAGTCGACAAAGGTGTCTGTAGTTTCGGGAATATATCTGTGGTAGGAAATCGATTCGAGATACAAAAAGACGACGTTAAATCCCAGTCTGCGACGGAGGCGGGCGCCGTTGCCAATCGCGAGAACTGCTTGTCGTCCGCTGGCCGGCAATTGCGCGGTAATTGGTTGGCTTATTGGGAGCACGAGATAGGAAGGCCGGATAAGGATACAATATTCAACATAAAGCAGATCAAGCTGCAGACTTTCAGCGGACACACGAACAGTATACGGTGTCTCAATGTACTGGATAATGAAAATAGTTTTATGAGCGGCGGCAGAGACAAAATCGTGAAGTTGTGGAGTTTACGAAGCCAGGTAGAGATTTATCGATCAGGTTACTCGCTATGCGAATGAGCAGCATTTCGTGCTAATATTGCGAGTTAATTATTGATATCGTGCCGTCAGGGCGATGGGAATACAGTCTCGTCGTGTCAATATACGTACACTGGGCACAAGAAATCTATCCTTTCGCTCACATTCCTGGAGTCTTTGAGGTACGCAGTGACTTGCGACGGTATGATTCATTGCTGGGACCCTTTCATGGGCTCGCTTCTGGGATGTCCCGAAAGCAGCCGTCCAGTTCCTGTGAACACTTTAGCTTCGAGCCCTTCTCCGTCTACGACTCTTCTCGTGGGAACAACAGATATTACTCTTAGAGTTATCGATTGCAGAACATTCCAATATGTTAATGAAATGAAAGTATGTACACGCTGGCATCGGAACTGGAACAATTAATGTCACTTATATAGTTTTAAAGTTTCAGAAAAAAATGATTTCTTTAGCTTCTTAAATTTCTTTTACGGACAACAGTAAATGTGGCGAGTTTTAACCGAAAATACGTGAATTTTCCTAAACGAATTCTTGTATCCTTGGGACAGAAAGAAATCGGAAAATTGGTGGAAAAACAGGTTTTTTTTTCGAAACTTTAAAATTATAGTCACTTATCCGGGAATTAACGCTTTTAACGCCAATATCTGGTAGGTTTCTATGAATCCAACTGGCTTGATCAGATGTATCGCGGTAGCGCCTAGCGGATACTGGGTCGCCTTAGGTCAAGCATCGGGCTTCTTGACGATACTCGATACTCGTACTGGTTTAATCATCGCGTCTTGGAAGGGACATGAATGCGAGGTAGAGATTCAAGGACTGTTAACGATTGAACACTTCACATTCACCGATTTATATCGCCGACATTCTTCGCAGATATTGCAATTAGAAGCGATCAACGAGACCACTATAGTCAGTTCCTCGTTGGATCAAACGATCGCTGTGTGGAGCGCAGTGGATGGCAAACTTAAGTTTCACATGAAGTAAGACCGAGTTGCTGAGAATCGTAACAAAAATTGTGTTACTTCTAACGTAAAATCATGACAATATGTTACATTTCTATCGCTTTCCAGAGGCGCGACGGAACCCGTTCATTGCATGGCGACATACGAGCAGGAATTAGTAATAGGAACAACAGCGAATCGAATTGGTGTCTATACCGCCGTGGAAATGACAGCGTCCTTCTCTTCGTCGAAATTGAAGTCTGACGCTTTCAAAGGCGTCCTTACTGCCATGGCTGTCCTTCCCCTTAATCGATTGCTGTTATTGGGCGCCGACAACGGTGGTATAATATTACTGTGCTAAGTATTTACACAAAGTGTACACGAATGGCTGGAACATTAAACGTATAATTAAGATAAGTAGAAAATTATTTTAATTATTTATATATACAGTGTGTAATACAGAACGCATGGTGAATTCACTACTGTACAATAAATTCCATTTTTACACACACACATACACACACACACATATATGTATGTATGCAAGGAGAAAATTCTCTACACATGTATAATATCCGTTCTCGTCGCTATCACTTTCAAAGCAAGCTCGGGGGACATTTTGTGCACACCGACGTCCGCTAAAATTTCTGCCGACGCAGTTTTATCACTATTATTACTTAGTGCCTCTTGAAGCAACATAGCTGAACCCACTAAAATATTTAAGAGTATACATGCTTCTTTGATCCTGAAAAAAAAAATTAAAATAACTGATGATTGTACGTTTGTCTTCGAGACGAGGAAACTTTTGCAATAATTTTATGGACTTACAAAGGAAAAAATGACTCCGGATTGCTGATATACAAACCAAACAATGGAAATAAGTTTCGCAAGATGTCGTATTGTAATTGTTCAGCACCGCCGCTGTTGAAATGATTCACCAGTACAACTTCCTCAAAGAGAAACTATAACAAGGAATATATGAAAATAAATTAGGCAGAAACTGGTGGTAAAATAATATAGTAAAGTATTTTTTACTTTTAACTTGCGTACTTGATCAAATTGAGCAGCTAAACTCTTCCAAGCTTGACGGAACAATGGTAGAGCGAGAGCATTGTGCAATATGTGAAGACGTGTGGCCAACTCTTGGAACATGGGACAGCCGCTTGGCGTTACCGATAATGAAGCAACTTCTTTGGAAGACTGCATCGCAAACCACCTTAACAAAAGGCACTTGGTAAATCGAAAGATACGTCGAAGTTGCATTGATACTAGTTTGACATGTAATAAAACCACTTACTTATCAGTCCTGTAAGCTCTACTTTTTGCCTTTACGTCTAGAGCCACCGAGTCGCTGATTTCACTTATTAATTCTTTCTCTAACCGTTGTAAGAGACCGACAGCTTCGTCAAACACAGTGCCTTCCACTTCTCCGATGCTTTCGCTGACGTCATTGCCTCTGTCGGTAGCATTCTCTACGGCTTCGAATTGTTTCTTGAAGAAATATAGCTGCAGGAAGTGCTGTGTAAACGAAAGAGAGAGATGTATATTGCGATAAGTAATATTTCGTTTTCATTTTTCTCGTTATAGGTAAAAAGATACACACGACTGTTATGCCCCATTCCTCCAAAACGGTTGCGACATAATGTAACGTATTGAGAATGTGCGGCATGAGCGAGGTCAATGGATCTTCGTAATTTTCATGTAATAGTTGTAGCAATCGCACTCTCCAGTCGTCAATCAATTCCAACTGCAGCTCAAGAAACTGCAATCTTTATAAATTGTCGTTATAGCTATCACGTCTCTCACTTACGATGTCTTATGTTAATTACCTGTGTCCAGGCTGTGGTAAATGTTTATATCTGTCAGAGATCGTGGTGAGAAGCGTGAGGAAAGCGTCTGCGCATTCAGTGACTTTCATGTCATCCGTGTCAGGACCTGCCAGCCTTTCCCACGCTGTGTTCGAGCTCAATATTGCGTCCATTTTCTCCGTTGCATCTGCAAAGAGAAAATACATGTGTATTGAAGCACAGGTGAATCAAGTATTTCGTCACTCACATTTCTTCTCTATGTTGATCCATTTTACGAAAACTTGCGCTTGTGTTAAAACGAAGATAGTGGTGGGTTGTGTTGGAGGATACAGCAGAGTCTCTCGTAATTCTCGTTCAAATCCCAAAGCTTCGTCCACTAAATGCGCGAATAAAGTGTCGTCGTACTGTACCAAGGGTAATTCGGAATGAAGCTTCTCGACGGCTAACTGAACCAGGGCGCGCATGAATTCGACCTGCCAATATACTGTGATTAGTGCCTAGAAACTGGAAAGCAACAATTAGAATGTTAAGATTCGACTAATAGCTTTGTTAGACCTTTATATCCAAATGCCCGAAACCTATAGCATCCGCCACAGGCTGGATGTTCTTCTGCACCCACTGTACATGATCCTTAATCCACCTTAATATCTGCGTAAAAAACCATTCTGGCTTATCCTGGCGGTTTGTCAGTTTAGATCCTGTGAAGTGGTAGACGAACCTCTGTCTGAGGGGACGCACCAGATAAGTGATCGGCAAGCTAATTGGCGCAAAATCTGTTAACAGTACAGATTTTACTACAGGCTTTATTGTTTCTTCTCTAAAATAATACGTTGAGAGATGTGTTAAGGATAATATTAACTTATCAATTCATTGCTTTCTTAATGAGCTGCCGAACAATTGGTTTGTGAATTAGAAGGATACGGTAGTTGCAAATGAAAAAGATACTCAGTGAGCATCTTAAATCTTGTCATCATTTCTGGCAAGGGTGGGCTCATTGAACTAGCATTAGTGCCACAGAAAGGCCATTTTAGTGTCTTCAACAGATCATTGTATTCCCTGTAAGTTTTAGTCATTTTTGTCACAAGTATAATATTAATAATAATATAAATTAGATTTAAGGTATATTCAAGAGAAGAGAAAAAGCGTACTTCGATAACTTTTCCTTGATTAGATTATGCCAAAAGTGTAGCGTTTCATGAACATAATTAACCAAATGATGACAGGCAGATGTTTGTAGTTGACAGCTGACTTCTGTCAAGCTTGTATATAAAGTTATCAATGAATCATCGTCACCTGATGACAGAAATGTCTCCATCTCGTCACTAAACACAAATAAAATATTTCAATGGATTAATAAAAATCATATCGCATTCTTTGATAATTACCTGATATTTTCAATATATTTTATGAAGTATAGATAAGATAATGATTTGTCTAATTGACCAATCTTATCAATAATTTCCTGTAATTCCAAATTTCTGTCATTTTCACTAAATGCCTCTTTGATCTTCTTATTGAGGTCTATGGAAATTTGTTGCAAATGATCAGCTTCATCTTTGATATGTTCCACACTTTCAACTACTGCTTTTACTTTGGAGGGAGCAGCGGTTGATGCCATTGATAACTACGCAACAAAAGTCATAAATATACATTTCTCATACTACATATTTACTTGTAAAAATATCAAATGCAACTTACAGATTTTTCAATTTCATCTTTCTCTGCCTTGAGATTTTCATGGAAATCGTAGATTTCTTGAAGATTTTTTATGTCAGATCCTAGTTGTGCGTTGAATCTTTGTATAATTTTTTGTTTTATATCCATTTTGATGTACTTTTGCATCGAAAAATTAAAGCATTTTCAGCTGTAATTCATTCAAAATAAACATTGTTAACTGAGTAAAGTTGCTTCTGGTGAATATTTAAAAAAGTAAGTTCCTTAACCTTAAAAACATTTTAATACTTTGTTGCTCTTCCAGTAGTATCGAAAGGCCCTTTCAATTCTTTAAACTTCTTCTATTATCTTAAAAAATATTGAATGAAACATATCTATCAAATTTGCCTCTATTCTGAACACATCATCTAACCTCGTCACACATCACCAAGTGACATCTTATGGATATAAAACAAAATAGGAAACACGTTTGTGCTCCCATCTTTCGGTAAGAAAATATATCGTTTCTACGATTTTACCGATTGACCATAAATAATAACAAACCAATTCGTTAGATGATGCGACCAACACGAAGTACGTTAATTCTCTCGCGTAAAAACATTTTAACGATACTTTTAGCTTCAGGGATTCACGATGCGGACGTAAGTATCTCAACAGAAGTGACGTTCTTCGATATTTATTTGTTATATCTCGTAGAGTTACATGTTAAATTATATGGATACAAATCATGGAGACAACCACACGTTGCACTGAGCCCTTATAGTATCGTGGATAAATAATTAGGTAGAAGAGGAAAAACAATTATTTAGTCTTACTTCGAAAGGCACATATCCACTCTATTCGGGAATCGCGCTCAATATACGCGCGATTTTAATCGACTACATCGTTGGTTCTGTTGGTTTGTCGTCGTTCTCTCTCTCTCTTTTTTTTTTCTCAAGTCGCGACAACCGATTTTTGATCCGCATTCTTTTCTTCTACTAACGCATGCAAAATGTATAATCAGGCTTAATTTTCGGACGGATGGACGGACTATGTGCGACTATCTCTCACTCGTCGCATGCCACGCAACAACCTCACTGCGGACGGATGAATTCGGACGGACTCTGAAGAAGAAGCGTAAATTAGAATGCGGGAATTGACACGCCGATTCGACTATACGGTTAGATATATCACACACTGGCGTACTAATATCGCTTCCGACGAGTTGTACTCTAACGTTATCGTGTGGTAATTACACAGTCGACAGTAAAACGCAAAACGTATGTGCGGGGTGTCGCTCGAAATATCGCAAAGTGAGAAGTCGGTATCCTAATACGTCGTTATACGCAGTTCCAAATTCAACCCTTCAAATTTTCCAGGTGAGATCGGAATTATCGCCGACAATTCGTCTCGGACATTTTTTAAGGGATCTCGACATGATCGCTCTGTTCCGCCATGTTTGCGGCATGTCCCGAAATGGAGCCTTGCGCGCGTGAAGATCCCCCTTCTCTTTTTTCAATTCCGAGTTGTCGTAACCGATACCTTGTCGAGGAGAAGGATATTTCTCGAGAATACCCCGCATATAACAGTGTAGGAATCTAACGCATATTTCTACGCTTCACCTACGGTCCATACAACGAAATAACATCGCTATAATCACGATAATGATAATAATAATAATAATAAGAATAAGAATAAAGATAATAATATGTAATGGTAATCATATAATCACTTCTAATTGCCGAGACGACATACACAGTGACAAAGATTGTGTTACAAAAAGGCCCATTGAAATTTTTGTGTTACTTTAACATGGGGAATGCGTTAAGAAGTACACAAATATAATGTTAAATTAACATATTCATCTTGTTGACATATTACCTTAGCAGCACAAGCCAATATTGGCCAGTGTTGAGCCAATCTAACGCCAATGAAGCGTGCTACAAAATTCCATTTAACGATCGCCAGCATCGTTCTGTCTTTGTTTAACATTCAAGAGAAACAACAGAATGATGCTCGCGAAAGTTAAGTGGAACGCGCCCTAAGAGTATTATTTCATACATTCACGTTGTTAAGGTAACACAAAATTCCAGTGGAATTCCGTTTTTAACACCAAATTGTTCACCTTGCGGGAATAATAAAATAGAGAAGTCGCGCGTGCTACGGTCGTGTGCAGCTCGACGTATATCGCGTACATATCGTGTAAGATACGATAGTCGGCACAATCGATCGACTCGCGGTGCATCTCTTCCGAAACGCTACACATTTATGTACATCCTTTCTCTCTTTGTACGCGATGTAAAAATAGAAGGGGGGGAGGGGGGTGTAGCGAGGGGATCGCTGCTAAAATGAATGTTGGAACGCGGCGGGATAGAAAATATCATCGTACGCATCGCGCGCTAATCGATCGATCTGGCACACGTGGACTGACTGGCGCGTTGCTTAAGAATTAATACAAGGGACACTCGCTAATTATTTGAAGGCACGATGCGTGAATCGTTTCGCCGCGAGGAGTACGGCCATTCTCGGCGAGGAGGAATATCGGTGCGAATAAATATCCGGGAACACGAGAAGATGAGAGGAGAAAAGAAAGAAGGCTCGCTCGACTATGAAACATCGGGACTACGCGCGGCGAAAGTAAGAGGTTGAGGAGAAAGGTAAGCTGATTGAAAAATAAAGAGGATCGTCGTCGGGAAAATCGTCGCGAAACGGGAGAAGAAGAAAACGTTTCGCGCTCCCGGTTCACGGGAGCTCACCAAGGTGCAAGGTACGTTAAATACACACCGATATTCCTCGTCGCGTAATGTCGCCGAGGTATACTCGACGAGTACTTCGCGGCATAATCTAGTAATACTTCAAACGCGGATCATTTATAATATAATCTTGTCACCATCAGCCGCAACAGTTCTCACACGTTACAATGCTTGTTTCTTATACGTTTTGACGGCGTGTTAAGACGATTTCGCTTACGTTGAAATCACAACGCTTATTATTAGTCACTCATTATATTATATATATATACACATATATATATATATATATATATATGTATATATGTATATGTGTATATGTTTGCTTGTGTTTATGTGTTTGTGTTTATGTATCGTATGTATCTGCAGTTAAGGAAGGAGGTAGAAGATGTGCGCTCTTCTCCCCTCGGTTTTGTTCTCCCTTAACATTGATATCGCTTTCCCGACTCTTTCTGCCGTCGCATATCAAACTTCAATCGCGGAATCGACACTTGACCCTTTTGTAAAAGACATTAGACAGTTGAGACTTTTGCATTCAAGAACGGGATTACCCGTTCGCGTTGTATGTGTGCTGTCGCGCGGCAGCGTTTGCTACGTGGAACAGAACGTTCTTGCGCGTGCAAAATGCAACGGAGGGCTAACGATTCGGTTCGTTTCAGGTCGAGCCGAGTCGAGGTTCCCGGGGAACCGCTGTTACTCGTGTTCGATCGAATGGAACAGGAAGTCGAGGACTACGCACAGACCTGAGAACGTGCGTTTCGCTCGGAGAGAGCCAATGGATTCCTGAGATGGATTCGCGAGAGTCGTCGCCGGCGTTTAGAGGGTGTTCAGCAGGGAGTCGAACAGGTCCAGCTGATTCTCGTCCCAGTTTGCGGTGGCGATCAGCAGACCCGTGAGATCATCCTCGCTCAGGCTCACCTGCGTCGACTCCGGCACTTCAGACAGAGTGTCCGGGATCGGGGGCGACACGCTGCTGGGCGGAGTCTCGTACAGGGCGGACAAGCAGCTGGTAGGCGGCTTGTTGTTGAGAGCGTTGAGCGTCGTCGTCGCCGCCGTCATTGTCGTCGTCACCGCTGTTGTCGGGGACTGCCGGTTCTTCGAGCAGCGAACTCGCTGCGACCTCGCGGAACGGCGTCCGTTCGATCGTTTGCCTTCCTGCATACGCTCGATGTCCAGCTTCCAGAAGCCGCCCTTGCCCGGCTCGTCCTTGGAGCGCGGCAACTTGACGAAACACTTGTTCAGCGAGAGATTATGCCGAATCGAGTTCTGTCAGCGAGAAAAAGACCCCCGTTAGCGTTTCTTCACCGCGAGAGGTGACAAGCGCGATCAGGTTATTGTTTAATCTAGAATCGTACGGTTGAGTTATTACGAACTCGCTGCGCAGGCTTAAACAAAGACAGGCGCTTTACCTGCCAGGCCGGATCGGCGTACTTGTAGAACAGGAAATTCTCGCGGATCCACGCGTAAATGTTGGAAAGGGACACCTTGTTGTTGTTCTTGCGCATCGCAAGGCATATGATAGTGCAGTAGGAGAACGGCGGTTTCGCGTCGGGATCCGTTCGATACTTCTCAGCGTTTTCCGCAAGGTCTGAGCAAAGTAATTATCGCTGAATCGTACATACATGCGTCATTACTATTATGTATTATGCGGTATTATGTATTTTAATAATATTAATTCCGACTCGAAGATTGATGTATCATAATGTCTTTTGTATGTTTAATTGTTCAGTTAACGGGAATAAAACCCCTTGGTGTACAAAGCCATTCATGGGACGTAGAAAATTGTTGAAATGAAAAAAGTAAGTATAAGTAAAAAACAAATTAATCACCTCTCTCTCTCTGATAGAATTCTGTATAAATTACATCTAAGAGCTTTCGAGGAATTGTAAAAAAAAGTCAGGGAATTCATTGGCTGATATAAAAATTCTGCTGACGCAGTTGAACCTTCCATACAATGTTCTCTGTTGTTAAATGTGAGATAAATTAAATGAACGAAACATCTCGAGTGGTACATAGAGTTTACAAAGCTTAGGAAATTTAGGACACACGATGTGATTATGTAAAAGTTTAAATAAGAGATATAAATATCACATTCTTTGTGAATCTAGTCATTCTATAAGAAGCGCAGTTCGTCTCGACAGGATTTGCAAAAAGTTTCGCAACATAACTACACTTAATAATAATCATAATCGATTCTTAGTTGACAATTGAACTGAAACCATTCATTTTCGCTCCGTTCTAGATCACTCGAGTGGATTACCTAATTCGGCTTTGACCAAGGGTGAGAGCTTTTTCGGGGGTTGGCGAGCGACCGGCGGCGGCGGCGGCGAGGGCGAGCAAGGTGGCGTCGGCAGACCGGACGCGCTGGTGATGTCCAACGATTGCAGCCAGGAGAGACTCGTCAACTCCGCCTCGACTCCGTCGTAATCGTCCGTGTCCATGCTGCCCAGTGCGACGAGCGAGCTGCTGTCTTCCGTCGATACTTCAACTTCCACCAGCTCTATCTTCATTTTCGCCATCTCTCATCACCCGGGTGTACGAGCGCGACGAGCGTCTACGAACAGAACAATCGTTCGTTCGTTGAGTTTGCATTTAGAAAGCAATCGGATTGATGATGACGCAATGAATTTGATCAGACGGAGAAAACAAGTCCGTTAATGTAATTGAATTTTTCACTGGACCAGACGAAAACTCGGCTGTAGGAACGGAAAGATTCTTATTGGAGGTTTCTGCTCACACGGAGGCAAATAATTTCGAGGGATATGAAATTATATGCTGCAGTAGCAAATAAATAAATGTACACGGTGTTTGTTACGTATGCTGTCCAATATTTTGGGAGTTGATTTTCAAGTAATTTTATGAAAAAAAAAGTTCTTATGAACCGTGTTATCATGTGAATTGTTCTTCATAAAATGACCTGAAAAATCAACTCTTCAAATATATCGGACAGTATACTTAAGAAATAGCTTGTATATTTATTAATTTACTGCGACAGCATGTGAAATTCGTTGTCCCCTGAAATTATTTTTCCCCGTGCAGTCAATTGTTGTCAGTGGTCTCAAGCGAGTTTTAATGCAGCCGAATATTCACACTCAGTCGCGGTAACAGAGATGCCATTTCTTGTCCCCGAGTTTTCATTTCTTGTCACCGAATTTTCATTTGGCCCCTGTTCAGTCGCGGGAACTGTGAGGTTCTTTTCCCCGTGTGTGTAAAAACGAGAGACTCTCTGCTGCGAGTGGACGATAAAGCACGCAGGATGATTTGATATTCGCGAGACGACGCCGAAACTTCATCAGGACGTGCGCTTTCTGTGCATTTCGCTCTCTCTTACTCACTCACAGGTATCGCCGATATCTACTCGCGAGTTGATGTTAAATTCCGATTACGCGGTGTTCGCGGAATCGTCCACGCGATACCCTTGTGATTCACTGGCTCGCTGGGACGTCTCTCTTGACGTCACGACGGTCCTATTCCGCGCGTTGATCATTTACACCGATAATTTGTGCGATCATCTTACTAACAATCGCGTAAAATGCCCCGGGCGAGCCGAGAGCAGCGGCCGAGGACGCGCAGTTAGGTCGATTCCGCCGAGAAAAACGCATCGTCCGCGAGATAATACGTCATCCGCTCGTTCGCGGAAAAAGAAGCGGCGACATCGATCACGACAGAGCACAGACCGGAGCTCGCCAGTATTGTATTCGTCAATATCCGTCGCGCGAAATTGTCTCTCGCGACGTTCTTGCGGTGTAGCGTCCCCTGTAGTATCGGCGATATCGGCTGGATATTATATTGAAAATATTCCAATATCGATATTTAAACGATAACACCAATAATAACACACGTTATCGCGCACTGTGGCTTCCAGACTCGCGGAATCACATCGATGCGACGTGAGAATGATATATCTCTGGCTGACGTTTTCAGTTACCAACGAACGTACCGCTAATAATAAAATACAGCCGTGACGCTGCTGGACAGGTGACACGTATACGAAATAATAAACGACGCGGGAGAACGCGCGTGTGTGTGCACACGGCACGGTCGGACGAGTTCGACTGGTAGCAAGGGTGGTACGCGCGTTGTCTACCTGCTCGCCCCCGACCTGGTGGAGGTAGTCGGTGCGGGGTGACAGGTGCTGGGTTCCCTCTTGCAGGTGGACCATGCACACACGCCGGACAGACCCTCTTTCCTTTTCGAGACCCTCCCCTAGCCGGGAAACGAGCCGGGGGAGCTCACCCTCCGTGAGTTTGGTGGGTCATGGCGTACGTGCCGTGTGCGCACGCTGCGCCGAAATATTTCAGACCGTGGAGCCGATAGGATCCGCTGCGGCGACCAGACTACTTATTAATTGAGTTATGAAATACATCGAGTCTGTAGGCGCGCGTCCCGAATCTCCGGTTTCCCTCGACGGGATGGCGCTTTTTTCCGAGCGGCAGAAATCTCGAGGAACCACGTGTCGATACGCGTATCACGCGTCCTTGAACTAATACGGGCGGCTTGCTTAGCTCGCTCGAACAATTGCTTGATTAAATGTGAAGATGCGCGATTTGTAATTGCGGGAGAGCGTATCGGTTTGAAATTCGTGGATTCGAGAATCGATTCGTCGATCGTGGATTTCAGACTTTTGCGAGTGCGAATTATCCGTTCGACGTATTTTCAGGTGAGAGACACCTCGCAGGGCGAGAATGTAACGTGGAAAGAGGCGGCGATACACGCATTTCGTCCTGCTCAGCCGGGGGTGGACGTGTTCGCCCATTCGCCTTGGTACAGGTGCCTCCATTGATCGAATCGGGGAGGCAGCGACCGCCAGTTACGATAACCCTGGAACGAGAAAGAGGGGAAAGAGCCGCAGCCATTCGACCAAGACGAGAATGGCGTGTGAGAGATTCGCCCGGACCTCATCATCATTGGTCGGCGTCCGTCGGCATCGTCAGCACGAGATTCGCTGGCCAGGATCAACACAGATGTAGAACAGCCGCGTACAATGTGCGTGTAAACCAATTTGGGCGTTTTATGGAGGGCTGATCCACCTCCAGAGGGTGTCTTCTCTCGCCTGATGGAAAAATATCACGAGGAGACACGCGACTCTTAGCGACCAAACAGAAGTTATAAGTCCCTTGTTTGGATTCGTGACTTGTTCTTTTTCCCCGTTCAAACAACCCTCTTTCCGAATCGTACTGCGTCTTGCAGAACACCCTCCACAATATTCCTATTAATCTGTTCTACTTACGATGAGTTCACTGTGGAACTCGGCAAGTCCTATTACGTTTAAATGGCAGGTTTCACGCGGGAGCGAAAAGCGCAAGAGGAATTTGGACGGACGCCATCGGCAATCGAGGTCCTCCCCCGTCGGCTACATCGTCGAAGTGAAAGTATCCGCGCGACGGATCAATAATCTCCTGGGAACATCCGTTCCCTCGTCGGCCCTGCTGGGTTACCCAGCCGGCTGGCTGGCTGACCGACCACCCTGGTGGCGGTGGTGGTAGCAGCAGCACCCAGTCAGTATCAACAACCAGCAGCCAGCCACCTGCCGCCCTTCCCCGCGCGTCGCGGCGTCAGGTTGTGAGTCACTACTACCTTTTCATTATACGCGTTACATTAAGTTTACTCGCCTGCCGTTCGCGAAGCGACGTATTACGTGCAACAACGTAACATTATGCGCCATGTAAAAAGACATAATAGGACCATGCGTACAATTTATCCGAATCGATTTCGACGTTATTACATTAGCGACATTTCCCGCCGGCTCCATTATATACGGAATCGCGACTCGATAACAGCGACGAATCTTCGAGAAATCGAGGGTATATACGAGCCCGACACCCGTAGAACACGATCTGCGATTACGCCCGGCTGCAATCTCGAGACCGCACGCGACACGTGAAGATTCCCCCGCGTCGATTCGATCGCGCTTCACGACAGTGTGACGCGACCGGCTAATTTCCTTTGTTTCGAGCGATCTTGAAATAAGAGAAAATGAATACGTTGCGTGCGACGCGCGGGGACGTCCCCTCGAGGAGGCGCAGGGGTGAAGCGGGCTGTGCTGGTGTCCTCCTGAGAAATAGTAACAGGTCACCGCGCGACAGCAATGATGTGGACGTATTTCAGTGGACAATTTAAAAGAGTAGATAATACGCCGAGGTTACGGATATAGACGACAGCGGATATGAGCGCGGAGTTCCGGGAGGGCGGAGGCGCTCGCATCAATTATTCAAGAGAATTGATTCCGACGAGTGCAGCAGCAGCAGTAGCAGGCAATCTACCGCCGCAACCGTCGTGGCGATAATGACGTCTGTGTAAAATCCATGAGATCGTTACGATTACCTACGAGAGACCCTTTTCGGTGTCGAACCTTCGAAGATGAAAAAAAATACTGACGACGTCGTAGCTTTTGACGAAAATTCCCTCCCCCGTCGTCGAATTTTCATTTTCGACGTTGTATCATCTCGAGCCCTTTTTCGAAACGCTCTCGTCCTCACGATTTTCACGTCAGTTTCTCGGAACTCGTTCGCGCATCGTGTCGAGATGACTTGTTGCGGGATCTCTCGAAGCGATTCATCGCGCTAAATCACACGATATAATCGTATATCTTTGAAAGTATATGTAATCTGGAGAAATGTGAAATTATATTCACCGAGAGATTGCTCGCAGCCGAGTCGAATAGGGATGCGCACTTGCTCGCTGATTGTGATCGGTGAAGATGCAGGTTTGTTAAACGACGGACAGTCTTTGCATCACTTCGAAGACCACCAACTGTGAACTACGGGCTTCGATCTGCCGAATTGGAAGTTTAAATTTCGCGGAAATCACGCGCGTTGCCGTGTACACCTATATATAGGTTTTAAATTATAATAAGACACTATACCGCATCGAGTTCACGCGCACAACGGATTGTGAATGACTAATAAGACACTTTTAACCCGACTTGCTTTGAATTTTGCGGGCGAACCGTGCTCGTGTTCATCGCGAGATCCGAGATTACTCAGCAGCGATAAATTAATCGTAGGTCGCCGGCGGCTTTGTCAGAACTAACGACTATCACCTCACGAGCACCAGCACCGTCAACCGCCATAATACCAATGTACCGCCATCTTCTTACCTGTGCAAACGGTACCGCTACGACAGGTGCGCGTACGCGATCGCCAGAGTTATCGATTATAGTTATAATTTGTTCCTGCGAAGTTTGCTCTCGCATAAAGTGCGGCGAGACAGTTGTTTGCTCGACTAACGTAAACGTAAATACAAGAGCGACTTGCAAATGCGCACAAAACCTTGACAAATGTTTACACTTCTCCAATTGAAAACCGAAGAAATGTGCATTGATCTTTCTCCACATCGACGTACGAATGTCTCGCTCGAGAAGACCGTCTTCCGAATCGTTTCGGGAAATTGAATTGCAACAATTAATAATTTAGGCAACTGTTCTCGATGAGACGCGCGAGAAATGTCTTCCGTTCGCCGACGAGGCAATACACACCTGGGCCCGCAGCTTTAGAACCTGGCAGATAAACGGTCGGTGCCGGTGGATAGAAGTCCGTCGTTAAGGAATCACCAAGGCGTGAACATCCTCCGACATACGGGCTGTGGGAAATTCGACGTCGACGGACGGGGGAAAGAAGTGCCGTCTCACGCATGCGAGTGTCAATGATTTATTTCCATTACATTACAGCACTCTTCTTAACATTTGATACTCGTATTTAAATCTGTCCTAAGAAAATCACCGAAAAAACGGCCAATGTCGGGTATTATCCTCTTCTGTACCGCCTCGGCGGATTCGTCTCGCCGGTGGTACCTATCGAGCTTCCCCGGACGCTTCTTACAAAAAGTCGTGGAAATCAAGACTTTTAGGCAAGATATAATTATGCGTATATATAGGTATATACATAGGTATATAATTCGCATACATACATACATACATACATACGCATATGACCCGCTAAAAATTCATCGAGTTAAATTGCGTCGGTACCAAGAGAACCGAGAAGAATCTTTTTCTTTCTTTCTTTTCCTTTTTTTTTTCTTTTCTATTCGGAGCACGACGTACATATCTAGATTTTTGTATTGAACGAGAGAGGCAAGAGAAGAGATGGAGATGACGGAACGGAGGGGGGGGGGGAGATGACGTACACTTTGGCGCGTATTTAGACAGGAGGACTGAACCTTTGGATCACCGCGCGTACGTCACTCTTGACGAACGCCAACTCGCAGACGCGCACCTCTATTCGCTATTTGCGATACACGGTTGTCACACCATGACAAGACGATACGACTCTAAGCAAGACGACGATGGTCGGTTCCGCTACCTACACCTAGATCATCGGGAGTGCGGTAAATCCATTCATGTACGGTAATCGGAGAGTGAGAGTCCGAAGGACTGGCAAAAACCAAGGTACTATGACGTGACGTGCCCTGTCGCGCGCTGCCATCTCGACTTAAGGTTGATTGGCGGTGAACGGCGTCACTCCGTTGTTGGCCATATTGTCCAGGACGCCGCTGATGTACGCCGCAACGTCGATCGTCGCCTCCTCCGCTCGTCTAATGAACGGGTGTTCCAGCAGTTTATTGTACTTCGGTCGCTGAGTCTCCTCCTTAATTAAGCTTCGGACAAATAACATAGAGGCGTATTATGGAACGTCGAAGGAAGCGTCTTGAAACGTCGACGGACAGTCAAGTGTGCGTTGATGGAAATGAATATGGAAATCATTTTACCATGTATTCACAAAATTCACGAAGTCCATGGTGAAGTGATTCCCGTTCTCGTTAGGGGAGAGCCGTGGCGGATCGCCTTGAACGACCTGATAAAGTTGCTCGAAGACAGAATTCCACTTCGGGTACGGAAAGTATCCCGTGGCAACCTCCATTAGCGTGATACCCAGCGACCACACGTCGCTCCGCACATCGTAGCCACGCGCCCGTTGTGGGTCTATCCTTTCCGGCTAAGAATAACGAACATCAAGGGTAATTCAGACAATTCAGCTCAAATGTGAAATATTCATTCCGTAATTCTGACAATGGCAGAACTCACAGCCATGTATGGTCTACAACCAGCGTCCCGGGTTCTCGCGATCGAGTCTACGAGTTGGCCGGATATACCAAAATCGCACAGTTTTATGTTACCACGTCGGTCCAGTAAAATATTACTAGGTTTCACGTCCCTGTGGATTATCATCAGCTTCTCTTTGAGATAATTTAACGCTTTTACAGTGGCCACCGTAATTTTGCCTAGAATACATTCCGGTATCCTCTCGTTTAATCTCTCATAGATGAACTTATAAAATTTATCTAACGACGTGTCCATGAGTTCCATGCAAATCCAACAATCTCCCTGTGTGTGAGAGACAAAATATTGTAACGAATCGCACATTGATTCACGGTATCTTCAAGTTATATACCTCTTTAAATAAAGCCCCATAAAACTGCACGATACACGGGCATTCGTTTGACTTCATCACAACTTCTAAGTCCATTAATAGTTGCTTTTGTTCTCTTTCGTCCACAGTGGAGCGAATTCTCTGGAAGACAGATCATGTAATTTTGAAGAAACTTGGTAGTGTGGTAGTGGGTGGAAAACTTGTGTGTCAGGAGAGATGAATAACATTTACCTTCACAGCCATAACGGTATTGCTTATCCTATGTATCATCTTATTTACAGTTCCAAATCCTCCCCTTCCTATCTCACCGAGATCTTGAAGGTCTTCACTTGTGAAGTCATACACCACATCTGGGGATATTTGCAGTTTACCAGTAGTTTGCATGGACTGGCACATTCGCAATTTGTCCCTGCAATGAGTTCCATTGTAATATATCATACAGCGTGTATCCTTCCTGCTTTTCTCCCTCAACAATCTCATACCTAGCCTTATCAGGAAGAAACTCTTGCTGCTGTAACATATTGCGAGGTCTGACTGGCAGCTTAGGTAAAGGCAGACTTGGGCGAGAGGATCTGTCGTCGTAAACAGAAAAAGAATATCAATATTATTACATAGAAGCGACAGTGCACAGATGTCGACAAAATTGTCTCACTAAGATCTCACATGGGTGGACACGCTGTAGCTCCTGTTGAATTTGACAAGGAGGAAGAATTTGTGGAATTGGCAAATGACAGATTGCTGCCTTGCGTTTGAAAACTAAGTTTCAACTGTCTTCTTTTCTCTGTAACAAGGTGGTGCGAATGATTGTCCCGACGTTCGACATGTTTCTCTTAGAATCTCGTACATACCTGACATCTCGTTCTGAACGTCATTGTTTGTTCGAAAATCCAATCGCTGAAGAGTGAAGGGTCTGCCAGAACCTGCAACGAACAACAATCGGAATTTGATCGCGAAGTGACATGAAGCGACCGGGAACTCGAGACGAAACAGCGAAACGTCGCGGGAGGAAAGCCGCGGATATCCATTTCTCGAGAGGAGATAACCGCCGAGAGGTTAGGTTAGGTTTTCCATGATCGTACGCGGCGTCGACGCGCGTGGCCAGGGCCATCGGCGACGTACCTTGGCCGGTTTGACTTGACGAATTGTCCTGGTTCTCTGCCATTTCGGCCAGCCGAATCCGCTTTTCCGGGGAGTCGCGCGCTGATACCGCTCGTCAAAGGCGCTTCCCTTAGGAGACCTCGCAAGATCTCAACAGCCTGGCATATGTGCTACACGGCAGTCGCACCATTTGTACGGTCTCGCGGTTCCGCAAGCAACACGCGCGACGAGAATTCCCGATCCCGGATTAACGTTTCAAGTCAATAACGGGTCAGTCAAGTCGCGCTACAACCCGTCAATCTCATGCAAGACCACACTCGTCGCGAACATTTGTCTACTTGCTACGGCGTACACAATGTACAGTAACGCGCAGTACATAGAGAACTAATATAGAATTCACCTTGCACCCGAAGTACGACGGTCTGATATCCAATAGGAAAATTCGTTCTTTAAGGCCGGTATTCATAGTCGGATCTTACGTTTAAAACTGGCTTAAGTTTATCTACAGATGCTTCGTAGCCAATGAAATGAGCCGCAGTGCATTTGAAGATAAACTTGAGACGGTCTTTAAATATAAGATCCGACTGTGAATACCGGCTTAACGCTTGTAGATAACTTTGTTACATCGTAACATCCCGCTTCTTTTTCCTTCTAATTTTCTGCAGACTATTAACATAGTTCGTTATATATATATTTTTGTAATTAATTCATCGATCGACGATTATCCAATACTACTTCATGTTATCAACCCCTAAAATTCATGTCACACGATGCTTCTCTTGTAGATCTAGTAACAAATTAAAAATTAACCAATCAAAACACAACATTTCTAGTATGTTACTAAATCAATTACCCAAGTAATAGCACCTAAGTATAGTGTTTTCAAACACATCCTAATATGTGATAGTTCTCATGTGAACACAAATGCATGTCATATATGTGTGCACTTGGGACCAGTCACGTGCACACATATGCATTTGTGTGCAATACGAGAGCCATCCCCTCCACTGTTAGCATGATAGCTCACATGACACGAAATTTCACGAGGTGTACCGAGAATGACACGAAGGTAACGAGAATTTTAGGGAGTATAAAAAATCAGTAGCTGCTCTGTGATTGGCTAGTATGTTAAAGAACGTGACTTTATTGGTGCCTCTCTCCTACTAGAGACTCCCCTACTAGAGGCTCTCTTCTCTCGAAGTGAAAGCTTCGTATTGACTGTGGTAGTGGCATTTTGTGTTAAGTGGGAAGGACTTCATACAAGAACAGCACGTTCGAGTTTTAACTATACATTCTATAGCGTGAGTGTCAGTACGTTTGTATCAAGGGACACGTGTGGTTCAGTGACGTTGTTTGCGCGAATTTGATTAAACGGTAAATTTAATCTATTAATTAATCTATTGAGATCACACAGTGTTCTAATTTACTGATCGAGTAATCTAATAGTGAGAAATACGTATTCTAGATTTTTATATTTACCCATTTTGTCTTACAGATTAATACAATTCTCCAAAATGCTTACCGTCACCGTGATATGTTTTGGGAATACGAAGATACATCAGGATCTTGACAGAATTGTCCAGTGCCCAACACATAAAGATATACTATGCAATAGTACGAATGAATTGGTTATAAAGAAACCAAGTGAAGAAAAAACCAGTATAAATGAGACATCTGCAAGTGAACCAGTCATAAGTGAATCAAGTGAAAATGAATCGACTGAGAAAGAAACAAGTGAGAAGAAACCAAAACTCTATGATGTTATGTTCTTCTCAGAGCGTTCTCAACGTTGTCGATATCATCTGAAGACTCTGAAAAGTTGTGGAAAACCAGACTGTTCAGTAGGATACTTAAGGTAATTTTCTTCTGATATATATATATATATTTTTTCTTCTGATATATATATATATATATATATATATAAAGTAAAATATACAAGATTATTTTTTTATTTCTTTTCTAAAATTTATCAAATTGTATTGTTATATATTTATTGCATTATAATGCAATAAATATGTAATACATATTTACAAAGAAATCAACCAATTGTATGTTTGATATAAGAGACCTCTTACTGCATAGATCACGATTTGTTGGTTTCTTTGTGTATGTGATTAATGATTATGTATGATTGTCTCTTTAGGTTTTTATAGTTTAATATGGTCCTTTATAATCAATGTCTTATATTTTCAGGAAAATCATAGATCTTTTGGGCTCTGCAACTCATACTTTGGATGTATGTATATTTTCCCTCACATGTCAATTTTTAAGAGAAGCGATATTTGCAGCAAGAGAGAGGGGTGTCGGTGTTAGATTTATTACAAACGATTCAACGATGACAAACGCAGGAACTACCGTTTTGAAATATTTTCTAGAAGGTTCGCAAGTACAACTACTAATATCAGAAGCTTATTAGTTGTAATATATACATGATATATTGTTTTAATCATAATGTTCGAAAATGACTATAATAGACATTGTTACTTGCAGATATTCGAATACAATGCAGAGATTCTCCTATATATTTGATGCATCACAAGTTTTGTGTTATTGACAATCGCATCTTGATAACAGGCAGTGCAAACTGGACTTTGTCTGCATTCTTTGGGAATTGTGAGAATATAATAATCACTGATGATTCAGAAATCGTCCAGAAGTTTCAAGATGAGTTTACAAAACTATGGTGTCATTTTGAGCAAAGATCATAGAGAGAAATCAAGAAATATCGCGAAGACACTACTATTTCCAACACATGTAAGTTCTTAAAACAGTACCGCAGTGCAATAATTTATTTAACATTATATATTGTCATATAACTATATATATGATAATATATTAGTCTCATAACAATTTAATTGTTTTAAAATATCTAAATATCTTACAAACAAAAGACAGATGTTTTGTTATTACGCTATGAAATAAGATTTCAAATACTTTATCGTACAGAGGCTGATTTATTGAAAAAAATGGGTTTTCTAGAAAAAAATCTAAAATGGGAAATATATATATATAGTTTAAACTTAACTACACGAACTGAGACTTTTTTAATAATAATAATTAGCTAAATAGATCACATGTCTGTGTTGATCTAGTAAATTCAAAAGACCATGAGACTTACCAGTTCAATAGTTATTTTAAATATAAAATCATACTCTGTAACACTTGCTGTACTTTTGTCATTAAAAGCTCTTTATAACTTTAATTTGACATTCCACATAGCAAAGCTTACACATTAATTTAATTCTTTTTCACAAATATTTTTTTACAACATTTTAACACACAAAAGAGAGAGAGATCACAGTTGACGGTGAAAGTGATGTTCTTTTTAACGATGTTTTTCTCTTCCTGCTTCTTTCTATTATGCACTTAATATAAATATCAAATGCTATACAAGAAACACATCTCTCAATCCAATGAATCTTTGTTCCATTGTGAATTAAATTTGACACGATTATACGACGTGGGTGTACCAAGGGAGTTGCTATGACGATTCTGACGTCATTGCGATACTACATCTTAGTATTAGTGGTAGCCTTTGTTTTCGCGCAAACAAGGCTGCGCCTGTGATGGGTATCGATTTTATTTAACCGTTAATGGTCATGTTTCTTTTCAGGTGGTCGCCATTCCCGGAGTCCCCATGAATTGATGCGCTAGATGTCGATAAGCTTCAGTTTGTTATTACTGTACGTGTCTTCATAGCACCTCATAGTACAAATGTGATAAAGACTGAAATATTAAAATGATGACGACTAAGGCTGATGAATAAGGCTGATGACTTTTTATGTTTATATATATATATATATATATATTTTTTATATAAAAATGATATAATCTTATTTTTATTCACTCTTTCTATGTATAACGTTAAGTACATATATAATAAATAATTTGAGTATATAGCATAATCTGATTATACACCGATCGTAAATCTTTTTTTCGAATTCCCTACATTGTAGATATGTTCGGCATTTAGGATAGAACCCCAACTTAAATTTCCTCTAAAGTTCACGGCAATCGAAGTGAGAAACGCGATTCAGCCAGCGCCTTCGTGATTCGCGAGAAATATCTTCCTGTCGCTTGCAAATTGTTCATAAAAATATCGATACCATTTCACGTGTCGCGTCATTCATTTGTGCTTATTTCAAGGCGTCTATTTCTTTGATCTATTTAACACTAAACCTACCAGTACCGGTCAAATTGACCGTTTTCAAACTTTTATAAAATATACACACTTTAAACGTTATAATACCGTTATCGAACTATATAACAATTCTTAGAATATGCATATAATATTTTTTTCACTCTGTACTTCTAGTTATTTTTTCTCTTTTCCAAGAAAAATTTATCATGTGTCCTACCTACCGCGCTCGATCAAATTGACCGGTAATTAAAAAAGTTATCGATTTTAGTATTCAATGCAGATAATGGTTGATTTATTGCTAAATGTATATAAAATGAAGAATTTTCATGAAATTTCGTCTAAATTAATTTTTATATAAGTTCAATTATAAACCTAAAAACAAAAATTTCATGTTTCCCACATGAGAAACCAAACTAAATATTTTGTATATCTAAAATTATTTATAAAAAAAACAAATAAAATTAAACTTTTATATGCAATGTTATGCATACATAAATACTTATATACTATAGTACTACATGTATATATTTTATTCGGCTTCCTTACAATGTTTACAAATTATTTTAGTCTGAAATGTACATTTGCCGCAAACATATTTTTCGCACTTCGAACAGATTTTTGTTGTTTTATAATCCTTACAAAATTTTATTTGACAAGTTTTTCTTGACAAGTTTTTCAAATCTGAATTTGTGGACGCTGTTGGTAAAAGTATTTTTTTTCTTGAGATTTTTTATATGTATCGCCGAGCTCTGAAGCTAACTGGAATAAAAATTCCTGCCTCGAAATATTTTCACCCGTCGTTTCTTTATACAAAACCCAGGCATTTATTCCAGCTAGGTCCAAAATGTTGAAAAATACCTGAAGTGNTTCTGCACGACAAAGAATCCATCGATCTTCGGGATTACACCATCACAGCGCGCGCCTCATATCTTTCTCATGTGTGCTTTTAACACTAAACCTACCGACAGTTCTTGTATACCTTTTCCTACCGCGCTCGGTCAAATTGACCGGTAATTAAAAAAGTTATCGATTTTAGTATTCAATGCAGATAATGGTTGATTTATTGCTAAATGTATATAAAATGAAGAATTTTCATGAAATTTCGTCCAAATTAATTTTTATATAAGTTCAATTATAAACCTAAAAAACAAAAATTTCATGTTTCCCACATGAGAAACCAAACCATTTTATCTTTCCTTTCTTTGGCTAACTTTGGCAACTCTTTTGTTTCCACGAATTGTTCCAACAATGGTAATATTTTTTTCAAGTAAATTCTTGGCTCATGTTAGACTCGTGAAAAAATTATCTGTTGTTACGTTCCTTCCTTTCTCAGGATGCGGAAGGAACGTAACAACAGATAATTTTTTCACGAGTCTAACATGAGCCAAGAATTTACTTGAAAAAAATATTACCATTGTTGGAACAATTCGTGGAAACAAAAGAGTTGCCAAAGTTAGCCAAAGAAAGGAAAGATAAAATGGTTTGGTTTCTCATGTGGGAAACATGAAATTTTTGTTTTTTAGGTTTATAATTGAACTTATATAAAAATTAATTTGGACGAAATTTCATGAAAATTCTTCATTTTATATACATTTAGCAATAAATCAACCATTATCTGCATTGAATACTAAAATCGATAACTTTTTTAATTACCGGTCAATTTGACCGAGCGCGGTAGGAAAAGGTATACAAGAACTGTCGGTAGGTTTAGTGTTAAAAGCACACATGAGAAAGATATGAGGCGCGCGCTGTGATGGTGTAATCCCGAAGATCGATGGATTCTTTGTCGTGCAGAAGAGAGGCGGCAAACCAGTGCGTAGGTTTCCGGTCATTCGTATGGAAATGTCTGATCACGCGCCGCGCTTACGAACGCCGTTTATTCGGCCGAGCGTACACCTCGTGGCGCTGGAAAGAAACCTCGGAGCGATATCGTCGTGAAATCGTAAAGTGCACGGCCGATTTGCGCAATTGCACTTCCCGGTCCTCTTTCAAATTGGATAGTGAAGTTAGCTCAAGTAGGCGCGCGCGAGCGATTATTGTTACGTCCTCATTATCGATAGCTCGCCCGGAGACCGTTATAAAGTTTCACTGCGCTGACGTCAGTCGCGTCGCGCTTTGAACCTTCGGCTACGTCTCGCGCGTAAAGTTTCGGAATTGCCGTCGTGTTTGCGGTTTATTCGCTGCTCGAGGCGGTTTTCACGCATTCTCGTTGCCTTCCCGCGTTGCCGATTTTAGAAGGCGAGTCGAGACCCCGCGTCGGGACGAGGTCGCCAAGAGGTTCGACGAAGATGGAAACGTCCGAAAGCGCTCGGAACACCGACTACGGTAATGGCGAGACGGAAAGCAGTAATTCTAAGGCGCGAGTACATTTCCAACGATGTTCGCGATGTAGATCGGGAGGATAATCCGAGCAGCGTGACTGGATGAGTGGGAAAAATTTCGCTCGGTGAGTTGATCCGTTATAACCTGTTTTAGTAACGCCGATCTCGAAACAAAGATGCCGATTCGTGGAAATCAGGAGCCTCCACCACTGGACGCGGTGTGCCACCACACATGTGCAGTATGTATACCTGTGTAGCCGAGCGAAGCCTTTGGCTGCGTGAGAAGCACGTTATCAGCGCTAACGCGTCATTTTATCGTCCCTCATTAGATATACGACAAGGATAGAATGACTCGTTAGTGCTAACTAGCAATAATAGCGCGCTTCTCGAATGTATCCTTTGTTGGCTACACGTATATGACACATATAGTCAGTCACAAAAAGGTTGCGATACTTTTTTTTCCAATGAATTTCACAATGCATCTTATATCCAAGGGAAATGTCTCTCCTGAAAATTATTAAGAAAGAAATTCTTCTGAATCTTTAGGCCATCTCGGATCGCGTCTCATTCTGAAGAAGTGAACTGAAATGTTCACAAAATACTGGAAGCAAATCTATGAGTCAAATCAGGTACAGATTCTCCTGTGCTACCTGGAATTGGACATGGGATATGTTTTGAGACTTTCAAAAGTAATGCAACCTTTTGGTGACTGACCATACACAATAACAGCATTCTGTGTCAAACTGTGAGGGTTCTCATTTGGTTTCCGGTCTGTTTTTTTAACTGAACTGAATTGAAGCATATGAAGCATACGTACGAAATTTTCACGTTTCAGTGTGCATAGACTTTAAACTAGTGCAGCCAGTTGAGTTAAAAAAAATAGACCATCTGTTTCAAAATTGCACAAGCTGTTTTGAATATATATATCATTGAGCTCTATAATGTATTGGAATTTGAACTTTCCTTATACTAAATTATAAAAATTTGCGATTCGCCGGAAGAAAGAATAGATAAACACTGGAGGAACATCTGTCTCTTCTGTAGTCTAATATATTATTGTGACTATTGTATATTACTACGAGGTAAAGATAAAGATACATCTAGTATATGTGCATTCTTTTCTACGAACGAGACACTCTCACTCCTTGATGGCTCATTTCAGTATATTTTAGGGCTCAAAGGTACATATGTGGCCTAGCGGTATGGTTTGAATATATCCTATATAAGCGGATCGATGCGATATCTCGTTGTTTCGAATAATTTAATGCAAACTCACGTACTCGTATGTTGATTACAATGTTTGCATATCATATTACGTGTAATTCTTGCGAGATATTCTAATATATATTATTATGGCTCTTCCACGTGCAACTTTTAAGCATGTACGTGCTCAAGTGATAATCCTTTGACACATACAAGGGGTTGATAATCTTGAAATACTCGTATTATACGTGTGCATATGTACACGCGACACACGCGCACACACAATGTGCGCGATCGTGCGAGTTTAATTCTAGTGTGTAGTTGGTCGTATTGATTACGTATTTTTAGATACACCGACAGCAACCCTGCCGTCGTCAAATATTAACCCCCGGCCCGAAATAGATCTGCGCCCCCGTCGGCTATACTTATTATTCCGGAAAGAACAGCTGCTACTTATTATTCTGGTGAAGCATTAGAAAGATGAAAATGATGTTGGAACATTTGTTCGGTAAGGGATAATTTGTCTCATATTATCTCTCGTCATTATCATTACGAGATATATCGAGACAGATTTAATCGTGCCTGAAACTTGTCAGTAACTTACATTAGATTAAAAGAAAAGTAGTCGCTTTAATAGTAGTTCTATATTAATAGTAGTTTGATTATTATGCGCTCGTAATTTTCGCAACTGATTTAACATATATCGCGAAAGGAGGGAAATATACATAGAATTATATTTCCGATACTTTCAAATATTAAACAGAGAGAGATATAATCCATAGAACAAAATTAATTTTTATATAATTTTTTTATCTTTTTATTTTAGTATGTTTTAATTATCTCCAATCACAATTTTCCTTAATTGTTATACAAGTTGATAATTGTTTTAATTTTATTGGCAATGGGAATAATTGGCGAAACATATTTGATGCCAGCAGAAATTTACCTGTTTTTGATAATTTGTTATTTTAGTCGCGGATTAATTTGCACGTCTATGTAATTATTGAAAAACTTAAATGAAGCATATTCAAAGTTACATTTGTCTCGCTCTGGGGTATCATGAATGTACAAATGCAGAACCATGCGACTTATTTCGCCCACATATTTTGTAATAAATAGTACACTTTATGATACCATAGGCGCCATCGTTATTTGCGGAATAGCAAACGTACGTCTAACTCGCAGCGTTCTTGATCTACGTTCCTCGAATGCGACATTTACGCTAAAGTTATCGACTGGAGTAGAAATAGTAGTGATATTCTTAACTAGCGGAAACTAGTGTACTACTACACATGTATATGCGCGCGTATGCGACGTCGGTTCCGAGAATATCTCCGTTGAAACGGAGCGCTCGTTTCGAATTTGCACCGCCACTTTTGGATTTAAGATCGGTTCTAGATTAAGGGCCGCGATAAGGGTCGACGCTGCCGAACGCCAGGCGCGTTTTTATTAGCGCCGCTTAATAGTCTCGAATTAAGAAAACCAGTTATCCCCCCCGGTGGTCGTAGCCGGCGAGGCGAAGAAGTTTATTCGCGACGCGTCTAATAACGAGACGCATCCCTCCCCCTTCCGCGCGTTTCCAGCGCGCAATCGCGAGCATCCTCGTCCTTATCATCGCATGCAGCGTCTTTATAGGTTGCTTTATAGGTCCGTCTCGGAGAGGCGCTTGAACCCGATGACAGGGTGAACGACCTTTGGTCCTGTATCTCTCGCGAGGAGGTACCCCCCCCCCCCCCCCC